TTTTGAAATTTCAGTCAATTCAACCCTTTTTGGCCCCACCCATCAGCCCCGGGGGGTCAGTCAGGGCTGATATGTGCATACCATCAAACTGCTATCCAATACTGATAATGCTAACCAAAATTGAATTACTTCCAATGGCAATTAAACAAATGTTAGTCCAAAATGTGATTTCCCTATATAAACTATAGTAAAGTTTACCCCCTCCCCAGGGGGAAACGTGAGACCCCAGGGTCATGAAATTCACAAATTTAGTAAAGCACCTTACGACCCTTCCATCTATGAAGAGTATTTGATTCTACCATATCTGGGTCTTGAAAAGAAGATTTTTGAAATTTTAGTCAGTTCAACCCTTTTTGGCCCCACCCATCAGCCCCTGGGGGCTGGGGACCATATACTTCACAATTTTATTTGACCTTTGGCCATGGAAGGTTTCTGCAAAATTTCATTGAAATTGGTTCAGGGGTTTTGGAGAAGTCGAAAATGTAAATTGTTTACGGACGCACGAAAGACGCCGCCAGACAAAAGGTGATCGCAATAGGTCACTTGAGACTTTGTCTCATGTGACCTAAAAATGTGAAGGAGTACGAGAGGAAAGGCAGAATAAGAAAAATCAACAGTCTGTTTAAAAGCTAGGAATGATTAATGTTCAAAAGACCCTCAGCTCCAATGTTAACTAAACTGACCTTCCATTTGAATGACCTGTGTCTGAGCATCACTTCTTTCCACGCCCGACAATGCATAGATCTCCACCACATAAGCTGTAAAAGTCGAGGGGTTCCCAAGAGGCAGGGTTAGGTGTGTTGATTCGGTGGTTGTCTCTGTCACCACGTTTCCCATGCAGTTTTTCAATACCACATGGTAACTGTCTAGATATCCATGTGACGCGCCCCAACTCAGCTCCACATGTGCTTGGAAAACATGACTGTTATGCATGTCTATTGGACCTGGTGGAGATGGTTCTTGAAATAGTAAAGACATTTTTGTCATGAACATTTTTATTATGGAACAATTTGACATGCTTTTCATAAATTCGGCTTAACTAAATTGATTCTTAACATGGGTTTTCGGTATGGGACCCTGTTCTTAACATGGATTTTGGGTATGGAACCCTGTTCTTAACATGGATTTTGGGTATGGGACCCTGTTCTTAACATGGGTTTTGGGTATGGGACCCTGTTCTTAAACTGGGAAAATACTTTCCTTTTGCTACATATTATATGGAAAACAGTAGAAGGGTTTTTGTTTTCTTTGAATAAGGCTGAAGTACAGGACTTAAACAGTGACATATAATAATGAAACTTGTCTTTATAAATTATCTATGAGCCACAAGAGGAACATTTGCAACAAGTTTGGTTATCATTAAGGCATTAAAGTAGAAGATAGTCAAAATTTATTTTAGACAGGAAGCACAATTTCCAACAATATTTGCGAGGGAAACATTTATCTAAATTACAAAGTGTTCATGATCATCATTTTTGGTTCTATAACCTTGAAACTCCACCTAGACATTATGAAGCATGTTCTCTTTCTTATTATTGGTAATTGCAATATTTTTGATATATTTTTTTTTTTCAAAATTGACCCCACAGCAAGAACTTAAACTTTGACCAATCTTTAAGTTTTTGAGGTACAATTTACCATGTTCCAGTACTACTATGGCTACTAGTCCTGTACTTTAAATTTTCAAAAAATAGAAAATCAAACCAGACATCATGACAGCATCGTAAACTTCCAAGTCAACCCAAAACCGAAACTGTGATGACATCATCTGCTAAATGCAGTACAATTAAAAACTTTGCTATTACAATCTAGGAATTATAATCTGAACGAAACTTTTGAAGAACCAGGCAAAGTATTTGAGCGATCCATAGTCCCCTACCTCTGGACAAAGTTTGGTATAAAAAATTAAACAAGAGGCCCATGGGCCTTAACGGTCACCTGATCATGAGTTATGTAAAAACTGATGTTATCGATGTTGCCAAATGAAAAAGAAAACATTTTGTGACAAAGGTAACTTGAACTACAAGTAATGCAAAAGTAGTGTAAAAGATCTGGGAAGTACATGTATATGTACTATGTACAAATATCAGTTCTGTCAGTCAGCTGAATTTTGTTAAAAGCACCTTAAGACCCATCCATCTATGAAGAGTATTTGATTCTATCCTATCTGGGTCTTGAGAAGAAGATTTTTGAAATTTTAGTTTCAAAACTTTGTCTTGGGTGACCTAAAAAGCCATTACTCTGTATAAAGTGTGAAACTCAGTCCTCACAAGAAGTATTTGCATTCAAAATTAGACAAAAGTAGGTGACACAGATTATAAATATGTCCAAAACAAAATGATGTGGACAAAGAGCCAAAAGTCTGTAAACAAGGTATTGGAACACAATTTCAAAATGCAAAATACAAAATTTGGCAATCAAAAACAAGGTCCCTAATTATGCCGAAACGTTACAACAACTAAGACATGAAAATATGCAATGGATATCATAAGACCGTGATTAAAACCTGTACCAGATCTACACAATTTGTTATCAACTGTATCCTACACCTACAGCTATAGTCACCAGTAATGGGTAACTCTGTCCAGATACACTCTCCCTCCTCTCCGTATAAGTCTCCAACACAACACGAAATATTAATCCTGACGACAGTACAGACAAGTCCATAGGGTATACTTGTTACAAGGGCTAGTTACACAGAACTTTTTGTGAACATGACTTAACATTATTTATTTAAAGCCATATAACCCATATTAACTTTGATGAAATTAACATTATTTATTTAAAGCCATATAACCCATATTAACTTTGATGAAAATCAAATGTTTTTGAGAAATCATAGATATTATAATTCAACTTGCAGGAATCAACCAATCAAATTGAGGAAGTGCCTGTATCCTTGCTAAGTCTGCCATCTTTTCAGTTTATGTTGAGTGTGCACGTGGCTTTCGTATCAGTAATAATAATAATAATAATAATAGTCTTTATTTAAACTTGATTACATATTGAGTCAAAGACTCGTCTCCCATAATCATTATGGTCAAGCATATTAAGAAATGTACATTATATACAACAATGATAAAATAGTACTATGAATGGTTAATTGGTAAGATAATTTTACATGTACATTTTAAATCCACAATTATCACAGAAACAGCTCTAAATGAAACAATGACCCGAGCTTTCCAGCGGTAGGGGAGAGCCCTACCAAGATGGTCAGCCCAGGTTACATTTTAACTGTACAACAGTTACATAAATAAAGGCTAAATTACACAAAATACAAAAAAGATGAGCATACATGTTTTTTAACCCATAAAATACGTTTTGGCACATTTCTTAAAAGATAATAGACTTTTGCAATTTTGTACATATGATGGTAAACTATTCAATATATGGACCTTGATATGTAAAAGACCTTTTAAAAACATTTATTTTAAAAGATGGCATATAAAATACATTCTGTGTTGATGATCTGGTAGTTCTTGAATGGATATCGGATGTCAAAGTAAATTGTTCAAGTAATCTGGAGCCAGGTTGTTTAAGACTTTGTACATTAAAATACAGTGGTTGTAGGAAATTCGTTTTTTAAAAAGCAACCATTTAAGTTTGCTAAACATTTCATTTGAAGGTGTACAAAAGTCACATTTCAAAATAACTCTGGCAGCTCGTTTAACAGTATTTACCCAATGATCTGACAAAACATATATTGCTTGGAAAGCTTTAACTAATCAAAATGGACCAAGTACATGTATTCTTATATAATTACTAAATGTGAGTAGATTCTGCTCATTCTTGAAAAATAATCTGATAATAGCTAAAAAATTATCTGATGATAGCTAAAAAACAATCTGATGATAGCTAAAAAATAATCTGATAATAGCTAAAAAACAATCTGATGATAGCTAAAAAATCATCTATGATAGCTAAAAAATAATCTGATGATAGCTAAAAAATAATCTGATAATAGCTAAAAAACAATCTGATGATAATTAAAAAAAAATCTGATGATAGCTAAAAAACAATCTGATGATAGCTAAAAAATAATCGGATAATAGCTGAAAAAATAATCTGATGATAGCTAAAAAAAATCTGATGATAGCTAAAAAAACAATCTGATGATAGCTAAAAAATAATCTGATAATAGCTAAAAAACAATCTGATGATAGCTAAAAAACAATCTGATGATAGCTAAAAAACAATCTGATGATAGCTAAAAAACGATCTGACTGATGATAGATAAAAAACAATCTGATGATAGCTAAAAAATAATCTGATAATAGCTAAAAAACAATCTGATGATAGCTAAAAAATAATCTGATGATAGCTAAAAAATAATCCTACAGAGCATAGGATAATTTCTGTGATAAAGATTTCAGAACAATTTTAGAAGCAGGAGGCTAAACGAAAAATGGGAAACTAAAAGTCCCCTATAATAAAGGTTTGTCACCTACTTGTTAGGATGCTGATGATCGCAGATGTCCGTGGGATTTCTTGTTTGTCATCACTAGTGACAAATGATGTCACACTAAATGAGTAGAAGACACCAGAAGTCAGCATATCTATGTCAATAGAGGACTCAGTCCAGGCGTCTACATCCACAGCCAGGTCAGACATTTCTGATGAAATGTGTACTTCATACCTAGTGGCTATCAGCACTGGTTTTGTCCATTCTAATCTAACAGAGGTTTCTGTTTTACTGGTAACATGCAGCTCTGTTACAAGGAAACGGCGATCTGTATGAAATTTAAAAAACAAAAAACAAATCTCTGACAAAGTTTTTCCCGACATGTAATTAGACATTTAAATAAAAATAATTCAACAAATTTACACTATGCACAGTGATTTGCTTCACACAAAGCACTGTTAAAATCAACATCCTTGTGTTATATACATACTTACTTATGGGTGTGATGGAGATACGATTGTGTTAATTAGCGATACTGGTAACTGTATATCACTGTGTGTGATACAGGCTTTCGTTTTCGTTTTTGTTCATGATGATTTTATGTTAACCTGAAATCCGAGTCACTGATATGTTTGGAAGGGAATAAAAAATGGAATCTGAAAACAGAAGATGTGTTCGTCAACTCGTCTTACAAATATGAACTGTTATGACTGAGCGAATCCCTAACACTTGATTAAGCTCATGAAAAGGTTCTATGAATACCCAATTAGTATGTAAATATATTAAATACAGTAAAACGATAGTGTAAACCTGGACATTTTCGATGCAGTTTAATTGTCATAACTATTGCCCTTAGCACCAAGGGCGAATTATCATAATAGAGAATATAGGTAAACAGCATACACTAGACATATATTTATCATATATAACGATATTTATCATATATTAAGGGCGAAATTAACACTGGGTGAATATGGATTTACAAGTGAAGAGCAAATGTTTGGCGGCAGGTTCCCAGTAGACAGTACTTCCCTACCTCAACACATTTAGCTTTTTAATGTGAAATATGACCCATAAAATACAGTGCTTTCAAATAATTCTGTAAATGATATATCAATGTTGTTTATAAATAATATCATTATAGGATGGGTCTATTTAATAGGGGTTTTATTTAAAGCATCAACAAAAGGACCAACCTGCCTGTATCGCTCACCTGTTACTTAACAAACTTGATGACAAGCATTTCAATCTCTATAACAAGACTGCTGTCACATATGTTTTAAACAAGAGACAAAATGTAACAAAAACCTATTAAAACAAACAATGCTTTGCTGCATCGGTCAGTGTTTGGAGTACTGGGCTTTCAGAAAGTAATGCATTGATATTGAATATTCGGCAGACACCCATATGACAAGCCGTCCCTACCCTGGGCCCTATTTTGGCCAACTGTCAACAGAACTTGAGACAACACACTGGCGCGTCGATTTACCCAATACAACCCAATATTACCCAATACAAGTGTCAATTTACCCAATACAACCCAATACTACCCTATACAAATGTTGATTTACCAAATACAACCCAATACTACCCAATACAAATGTCAATTTACCCAATACAACCAAATACTACCCAATACAAGTATTGATTTACCCAATACTATCCAATATAAAGTTAAATGTACCCAATACAAGTATTGATTTACCCAATACTATCCAATATAAATTTAAATGTACCCAATACGAGTAATGATGTTGTGCGGACCCGGGTATTTTTGGCAAGATCGTTGTTATTTGGAAATCCTTGATTCAATCTATTTCATTTCAAAATATTTTATTGTTAATTCAAACAAAGATAAATACAATTATTTTAGAAGAATTATAACAATTCATGTATTAACAAATGGACCAGACCACAGGCTTAGCCTATTCTGTCTTTGCGTATTGCAGAGTTATCTTCTCTTGGGAGCAGGTAACTCTGCAATACGCAAAGACAGAAAAGGCTAAGCCTGTGGTCTGGTCCATTCATGTATTAACAAATGGACCAGACCACAGGCTTAGCCTTTTCTGTCTTTGCGTATTGCAGAGTTACCTGCTCCCAAGAGAAGATAACTCTGCAATACGCAAAGACAGAATATATATGTAAGTCTTTTCCTATAGATACCGGTGTAACAGCCATTTCTGTTGCTAACCCCAAGAACCCCCTCGTTGCTAACACAGAGAGGGGGAAAGAATCAGCTAGCCAATAGTTTCCCCCTTGTTTCTAATCCAGAGGGGGAAAGAATCAGCTAGCCAATAGTTCCCCCCTAGTTGCTAACACAGAGTGGGGGAAAGAATCAGCTAGCCAATAGTTCCCCCCTAGTTGCTAACACAGAGAGGGGGAAAGAATCAGCTAGCCAATAGTTTCCCCCTAGTTGCTAACACAGAGTGGGGGAAAGAATCAGCTAGCCAATAGTTCCCCCCTAGTTGCTAACACAGAGAGGGGGAAAGAATCAGCTAGCCAATAGTTTCCCCCTAGTTGCTAACACAGAGAGGGGGAAAGAATCAGCTAGTCAATAGTTTCCCCCTAGTTACTAACACAGAGAGGGGGAAAGAATCAGCTAGCCAATAGCATCCCCCTAGTTCCTAACACAGAGGGGGAAAGAATCAGCTAGCCAATAGTTTCCCCCCTAGTTACTAACACAGAGATGGGGAAAGAATCAGCTAGCCGATAGTTTCCCCCTAGTTGCTAACACAGAGAGGGGGAAAGAATCAGCTAGCCAATAGTTCTCCCCTAGTTACTAAAACAGAGAGGGGAAAGAATCAATTAGCCAATAGTTTCCCCCTAGTTGCTAACACAGCGAGGGGGAAAGAATCAGCTAGCCAATAGTTCCCCCCTCGTTGCTAACACAGAAAGGGGGAAAGAATCAGCTAGCCAACAGTTTCCCCCTAGTTGCTAACACAGAGAGGGGGAAAGAATCAGCTAACCAATAGTTCTCCCCTAGTTACTAAAACAGAGAGGGTAAAGAATCAATTAGCCAATAGTTTCCCCCTAGTTGCTAACACAGAGAGGGGGAAAGAATCAGCTAGCCAATAGTTCCCCCCTAGTTGCTAACACAGAAAGGGGGAAAGAATCAGCTAGCCAACAGTTTCCCCCTAGTTGCTAACACAGAGAAGGGGAAAGAATCAGCTAGCCAATAGTTTCCCCCTAGTTACTATTACGGAGGGGGAAGAATCAGCTAGTTAATAGTTTCCCCCTAGTTACTATTACGGAGGGGAAAGAATCAGCTAGCCAATAGTTCCTCCCTAGTTACTAACACAGAGAGGGGAAAGAATCAGCTAGCCAATAGTTCCCCCCTAGTTACTATTACGGAGGGGGAAGAATCAGCTAGCCAATAGTTCCCCCCTAGTTGCTAACACAGAAAGGGGGAAAGAATCAACTAGACAATAGTTTCCCCCTAGTTGCTAACACAGAGAGGGGGAAAGAATCAGCTAGCCAATAGTTCTCCCCTAGTTACTATTACGGAGGGGGAAGAATCAGCTAGCCAATAGTTTCCCCCCTAGTTACTAACACAGAGAGGGGAAAGAATCAGCTAGCCAATAGTTACTCCCTAGTTACTAACACAGAGAGGTGAAAGAATCAGCTAGCCAATAGTTCCCCCCTAGTTGCTAACACAGAAGGGGGGAAAGAATCAGCTAGCCAATAGTTTCCCCCTTGTTACTAACACAGAGAGGGGGAAAGAATCAGCCAGCCAATAGTTTCCCCCCTAGTTACTATTACGGAGGGGGAAGAATCAGCTAGCCAATATTTTCCCCTGTATTGGCTAGTCACTAATATCTCCCATTAACAAACACTATGAGGGGGAGCATTAATTTGCAGATTTCTTCCCCGGGGGGGTGTTCTAAATTTTGCACCACATGAACAGGAACTCAAGCTGTATGTGTTTCATTCACATATGGAACAGTAAACGAATGGATACACATTAGTGAAATGCTTTTCTTAACCTAGCCATATTTTTTAATGTCTTAAAAACAATATATTGTACCTATTAACAAGTAAACTATGTCTGGAAAGAGTGCTGGAATATTTCATTAGTGGTAGATAGTAGGACAGTAACGGAAAAAACATAATCATACTCACTCAGCTCATATATTACCATTTGTACTTGTTATATGTTGTATTGTTAGAACTTATATATATAAAGACATTACGTAAAGATTAATAATTTTTTTAGAATCATTAACTATATTTCTGTTTGTTTCTAGAATAATGTATTGGAATATAGGAGATCGCGAGCAGCAACTAATTAAGCATTATAGTTTTACCGGTATTTTAAAACTTATGAACAAGAGGCCAAGAGGGCCTGTATCGCTCACCTGGATACCTAAGCAATCATGGCAAACTATTCTCCAAATGAGATCAAGGGAATATGCCAGACCCCAAGGCCAATCCTTGTAGCATAGCTATATTAGATTTTTCATGCCCAGCAATTTTATGTATGGTTATGGGGTGGGGATCTCAACTGTTTCCAAGCTTTGACTCAGAAACTAGGTCCCTAGAGTTGTGGCCAGACCCCAGGATCGATTCTAATATCGTGACTGCATTTGTCTCTTTTTGCCAAGCATTTGTATATATAGTTTTGGGGTGGGGATCTCAACCGTTTCAAAGTTATGACCCAGGGGCCAAGTCTGCAAGGGTGGGGCAGACCCTGGGATCAATTCTAATATCATGACTGCATTCGTCTCTTTATGCCCAACAATTGTATATATAGTTTTGGGGTGGGGATATTAACCATTTCAAAGTTATGACCCAGGGGTTAAGTCTCCAAGGGTGGGGCAGTCCCCAAGGCCAACCTGGAGGCATATGTGCAATCATCCCTATATACGGTTATAGGGTGGTGCTCTCAACTGTTCCAAGCTGTGACTAAGAAACTAGGTCCCTAGGGGTTCGGTCAGACCCCAGGGTCTATTCTGATATCATGATTGCATTCGTCTCTTTATGCCCAGCATTTGTAGATATAGTTTTGGGGTGGGGATCTCAACCGTTTTAAAGTTATGGCCCAGGGACTATGTCACCAAGGGTGGGGCCAGACCCTAGGGACATCCTGAAGCAAATGTGCATTCTTCTCTTTATACTCAGCAATTGTATATATGGTTATATGGTGGGGATCTCAACCATTTCCAAGTAATACATGAATGCTTCCGACCAAATATGATCAATATCCATGGCATAGTTCTGCAGAAGAAGTCGTTTATAGCAATATAACCAAATTGCCCCCTTTTGGCCTCGCCCCTCAGCCCCCTGGGGAGTCAGCCCAACCGTTTGTACAATTTTGAATCTCCACCACCTAGAGATGCTTCCAGTCAAATAAGGTTGATATCCACTTCTTAGTTCCAGAGAAGAAGTCGCTTAAAGCAATATGGGCAAATTGACCCCTTTTGGCCCTGCCCCTCAGCCCCCTGGGGGGTCAGCCACACCAATTGTACAATTTTAAATCCCTGCCTCCCAGGAATGCTTTTGCTTAAATATGATTGATATCCAGTGCATAGTTCTACAGAAGAAGTCGTTTGTAGCAATATAGCCAAATTGCCCCCCTTTGGCCCCGCCCCTAAGCCCCCTGGGGAGTCAGCCCCACCATTTGTACAATTTTTAATCACCACCACCTAGGGATGCTTCCAGTCAAATATGGTTGATATCCACTTCTTAGTTCCAGAGAAGAAGTCGCTTAAAGCAATATGGGCAAATTGACCCCTTTTGGCCCCGCCCCTCAGCCCCCTGGGGGGTCAGCCCCACCATTTGTACAATTTTGAATCCCCACCACCTAGGGATGCTTCCAGTCAAATTTAGTTTAATTCCAACCAGTGGTTAAGAAGACCTTCGGACCAGGTGAGCTAAAAATATATATGTGTGTTACTATTTGAATTCAAGTTTCGTTGTTCTTGGTTTTTTTTAATTTAGTTACCATTTTGATGAAATTTTAACCTTTTATTTTTTCTGGGTAATTGAGTGTTCCATGTATATAAAATGTATACTTATTTGCCTCTATAGTGAATGACTATTAATTCTATTACGAACTACATATAATTTAACAACGAGGGTTATTTATTATCAAAATGATTATTTAAAGCTCAACATGGCTATTATCTAATTGTGTAATTTTCCTTTTTTTTCGACCATGTAACAATCTGAGCAAGTTTATGTAATTACCAGTGATTTCGTTTGTAAAGCCGATGGAAATCATTTAGTTGCACATCTGCACACACCTGTTTCATTTAGACAACAGTGTAGACATTATCAGATCATACAGAGAAACAGGATTTGTAACAAATGTTATTTGAGAGATATAGAAGACGAGTTCCAATTTAATTTTGATTTGTCCATTTTATAGCAATTTGAGGCACATATTAATTAAAAAATACTATTACAAAAGAAACTCAATTTTTAAATTAATACAACTACTTAGTATAACTAATGTTAGAGAGCTATCCAATTTAGGTAAATATTTATATTTGGCATTCAAGAGGCGTTAATTACAGGTTTATGTATTGTGGTGTTTCATAACTTGGTTAATAAAGAATGAATGAATGAAGGTAGGGATTATGGCCACGTGTGTGATTGACATGTATTTAGGTATGGCTTTGGCGACGTGTCATCTGAACCAGTTTCACACCTGACCTTTGATCGACAGGTGATGCTTGCTACAAATAACAACAACTTCTGTATTTCGTTTATTTCTTTCCGAATTATAATAAATCATTCCGACGATAATTTACTTTAGAAATAATGAAATTCATTTTTCTATATTTTATCCGATATGATAACGATAAATTATTGTATATTATTCCCACAATAATTAACTTCATAAATAATGAAATTCATCTTTCTTTATTTTATCCACTATCACAACGATAAATTATTGTATATCATTTCCTTGGTAATTGATATAATGACTTCATAAATGATGAAATATATCTTGCTATAATTTTTCCAATGTAACAACAGAGACGTATAAAATACATCTCTGGTAACAACGATAAATTATTGTATATCGTATACCGATTAAGATCTACATATAATTAACTTTAATTGTATACTTATTTGGTATATCAATTTTATTAGGTATTTACTTTCTGTATTGGATTGTATTGGGTAAATCGATGTTTGTATTCGGTAAATCGGTGCTTGTATTGGGTTGTATCGGGTAAATCGACGTTTGTATTGGGTAGTATTGGGTTGTATCGGGTACATCGACATTTTTATTGGGTAGTATTGGGTTGTATTGGGTAGTACTGGGTTGTATTCTGTAAATCGGCGCTTGTATTGGGAGTACTGGGTTGTATTGGGTAAATCGACGTTTGTATTGGCTAGTATTGGGTTGTATAGGGTAAACCTACGTTTGTATTGGGTAGTATTGGGTAGTATTGGGTAAATCGACGTTTGTATTGGGTAGTATTGGGTTGTATTGGGTAAATCGATGTTTGTATTGGGTAGTATTGGGTTGTATTGGGTAAATCGACATTTGTATTGGGTAGTTTTGGGTTGTATTGGGTAAATTGACGTTTTTATTGGGTAGTATTGGGTTGTATTTGGTAAATCAATGTTTGTATTGGGTAGTATTGGGTTTTATTGGGTAAATCAACGTTTGTATTGGGTAGTATTGGGTTGTATTGGGTAAATCGACGTTTGTATGGGTAGTACTGGGTAGTATTGGGTAGTATTTGGTTTTATTGGGTAAATCAACGTTTGTATTGGGTAGTATTGGGTTGTATTGGGTAAATCGACGTTTGTATTGGGTAGTACTGGGTAGTATTGGGTAGTATTCGGTTGTATCGGGTAAATCGACGGACCCAAACACACGTACTAGATCTGTCAATGACACTAAAGTCTAAACTAGATTGTCTCCCTTTATCATTATGTTGCACATCTCTATTTTATTTACTTATCAAATAGTAAATGACGATTATTAGCTACATTGTCTGGTTTGATGTCATATGTAATCTGATCTTACCTTGTATTGTGGAGACAGAATCAGAATCAAAAAAGTAAAGAATAGTCGCCGTGATGCTTGCAAATGTAATGGTTACAATCAATGACATCACAAATTTGAAAAGAACATTGATATCATTTCGACTGAAAATGTCATATTTGAATGACTTATACTTAATACGCCTCGTATTATAACAGGATTTCCACACTTCGTTCATTCCAGCTTTCACGAAAGTGGAAACATGATCGGGGACGGCCATAGCCCCGAGCCAGAATTCTGCAACTCTACAGTATGGAACTCTTCATTTCGCAGAATACTCGTACGAGTGCTTTCGGTTTCGGTTTCCAACTAGCATGGTTCGAATCACAGCGGGTACATTTTTTTTCAATTATTGTTTTCTTCAAATATTGTTTATAATACAAAACAATGTACACAAAAATCCCAAGAAATCTTCACACTAAAATCACGTATTATCATAAACATGTAAAGACGTACAGACAATGCCATATGGTAGTAGCACGGACTTAGATAATTTAATTCCGTGGTAGTTAATTAGTCACAGGGACCTGATAATTTCTTACAGGTACTGTACATGTATTAATCCTTGTAATCCACAGCTTAGACCCCATATATAAGAGGGCAGCGGGGATTAAGTTACGCAAAGGACGTCGTTCCGTGGACCACAGCCGCTGCGACAGCCTGTCCGCATCTGATAATGTTTACATACGCTGTACTACGCTTGGATTGGAAGAACAAAATTAAAAAATCACACATTATATATAGTTTATACGGTTTAACGTGTGTATGAAATGGCTTGTCAGTGTTTTCACAAGTTGAGCATACATTTCATTTCAAATCAATTTCATTGCACGAACGGTACAATATGACCATACATAACTAGCATGACACAGAAAAGTCGACCAAACATAAGCGTGACACAGCATAGGAAAAGCATAAGAGTGTCAGCACGTATCAACAAGTATTTGACAAAAACGCATTTCAGCTAAAACCGCAATATCATGGATAGACACTAACTTAATCTAGGCTAATCTATACCAGGGTGAATTTTCTTTTCTTTATATATATATGTATCTGTTTATATCCCTTAACAAATAAAGCACCATTCTCGAAATTTTAGGGATTACGCTACAGAGAACATTAGTTAACGTAACCCGTTGAAGTTAACGCACGATACTATAACTCCTGGAAGTTAATGTAAGAGAGCGATGACATAGCACATGGAGGGTTTATCATCAATTTGATAGCGTTTCATCATGCCTCGGAAACCTTTCAATACAAGTGTACTGAAGCACATTGAGAGCAATTGACATGTTAAATGCTGTTTTAGATCAGATCTATTTATAAAGTGTCTTCTCTAGGAGTGGAATTCGGCGCTAAGTTATAAGTCAATTACTCTACCGTTTACCAAATGATTCTGCAATGTGACACTTTATAGCTAAAATAATCACTAGAAAACATAAACTCAAGGAGTACAAAGAAAGTAAACTTGCCATATAGTCACAAACACAATTAACAATAATTTATATATGTATTGTGCAGCAGATATCTAGGGGTGAACAATAATTTCACGTTCTTTTATTTACTATTTTGTAGTCATTTGTTGCATGTCTTTTTGGGAGGTTGGTCCCTAATTTGTTCAAAAGCATGCGCCATTCGCAAGACCATAAGGTCATCGAAGCTGCGGCCAACGAACATTATTCCGACTGGAAGTCCTTCACAACTTCCGGCGTTGACAGTTAAAGCCGGATGTCCGGTTGCGTTAAATGGTGCGGTGTTTTTCATCATTCCAAAGGTCAGGCGAAGAGTTTCTGAAAAAGTGGAGCGTTTTATTACTTCTCCCAGGAACTTATTATTTTCGGAAAAGGAATTATAAATCAACGTTACAACAGTACAACCCAGGTGAATATATCTGCTCGAATATCAAATACATTTCAGATAAGCCGTAAGTTGTTTTACTTACATTTGAACACAAAAAAATGAACTTTCAACCGTAAAGTTAAACTTTTGATTGCTTATTTTATGATGATATACATAACACAGAAAAATGACATGTGTTCTTATTGCGGGAGATACAACTTTTCGTCTCGGTATCACTCGAGTACACCATATAATTTTGAAAACTCAAGATTATATACCGGCACAACGAGACTGCTTTAGTATGGTCTTCAACAAGACTCAACCCACTCCAGGATAGATTGGCATTACCCGGAGCAGTTTGACCTCGACTTTAGGGTAACGTACCTAACACGGGTGTGTCTGTTGTGGGTAGCTCCATAGCTGTACAAGGCAGTGTTGGCATAACTAGAACGTCGTATGTCTGTAGCGCCTGGTCGTACGCCTGGGTGAGTAGACGGTTGAGGTTTTGGGCTTTGGCGTAGAATTTGTTCTGGTAGTTTCTGACCATGTACTCACAAGACACCGCCAGCATTTTACACGGTAAACTGAAGTCGTGCGGGCGGAGGTTGTACCCTCGGGCTAAAGCTTCTTGCATGGACGTGCAGTAATGTCCCTTCCAGTTCTCTCCATTCCCTGATGAAATGGCATATAAACTAAAATCATCATAAAATGCCTGTTGCATATCAATTTATGCAAGCATACTCGTACACTACTGAAGATAATACAATAAAATGAATGATAATAGCTTGAATGCTCTGCATTGTATGTGTAACGGAACTTGACTGGGTCAATTTTCGGCGACCAAGTAGCTCAATTGGTAAAGCGTCCGTCGGAGGGTACCATGCTCGAATCTCGGCATGGCCATGTATTTTCTCTTCCTCCTATAACAATATTGGCGACCTTGCCAACGTTTGTTTCAAGCATTGGGTGTACGCATACTAGACAAGATATACGAGTGAAAGAATAAATGCCGAACCGAGACAAAATAGGGCTATTAAGCGTTTGAACAGATCATATCTAAATTTTGCTTATCTATTTTAAGCAATGTGGAACAAATTGAAGCTCAAGGAAAAGGTTTATAGGACTCTTTGTCAACCTAAATATGTGTCTATTGAAACCAGTGAGTGGATGGGTAATATAATTTAGTAAACAATGTGATCCTATGACACTCACCGTTTCCTTTAATCATCATATTGTAGGCTCCGTAACTTATTGGAAGCCATATAGCAAATCCTGTGAAAAGAAAATCCATATTTAATGCTATATTTATGCATTACAATGCTCGGGATAGCGTGACATTTCACCAATTATTCCCTGAAATAGAAATGTACTTTCCTTTTATAACTTTTCTTCAGTAGAAAATGACTGCTCAATAAACGATTTTTCCCTTGTAACTAAGAAAACACAAAGTGCATGTACACATGTAAGACAGACAGGTGGTTTATAAAAAAAAACTGAGCTTGCTGAAAAACCGGATTTGAACAGGTCAATCAGACTATCCAGCCTCAGTTGCGGTCGGCATAGTTTCACGGGGCCAATATAAGGTTGGTTTAAAGATACAACACTCCTTATGAAATCGGAAACCCTGGAGTGGAATCAGAGAACGATACACGTGCCATGAAATTGAATTCTTTGCTCTGAAATATCAGAAGAAACGTTTGGAATTACAAGGCTAAAGGTTGTCAGATTCACAACACCAACAAATAATTGTATAAACAAATTACAATAAAAAAGACAGGCAACATTTTATAGCGATGTACCGTACTCGTTGACAACTGGTAAATGAATGGGTAGGTTGAAGAATACAGAATGTACCAACGTACAAAATATAGGAGAGCATCACATGTGAACGGAGCATATGTAACAAAACATCCACGTGAGCATGCCCTAACTTAGGGAGGAGAAAGACGAAATCCGTATGACAATGAAGGAGCATGTGTACGAGTTGGTAATTCGGAATGTAAAAAGGTCATGACCCCAATGTTATAATCAAACGAACAAGGTCATTTTAGATTTTTCTCAAACACTATTGTAAGGCTCTTATTTTATGAATCAACATTTTGGACCCTGGGGATGCATTTGATAATATATATTGTTGAGGATGTTGAACAAATGTGTTAGATATCATGTTACTAAACAGCTCTTTTATGTTTACCGTCACCATTGACAGTTTGTACCAAATAACAACCTACCGTCAGTATGTAGTGGTATAGACACCTCTTCTACCACGGCCCCCGCCTCCCGGAGTCTGTAAGAAGCATCCTTGACACATTTTGACACGCCCACGTCTACTCCGTTAAAACCTTCTGTCAGGATACCGACTCGTTTACCTTCCACGCCCTTCGTGAGCTGTTAGGGACAAACCGTAATGTTTAAACGAATACTTCAAAATCAAATGTTCAACAAACTTTCAAAACTTAACGTAATTGACTTTTAATTATACAAGTTTTATTACCGGTAAGTTTTGTGTGCGTAAATCAATCAATGATAAGCTGTGCTACTGTCCGTTTATAGAGGACCACGTATGTACTTACTAGGGTAGAGTAGGGAGGAACTGTAATATCCGGCGGTTGTCGGGGGTCCGTCCCGTCATCATATCCCGCTAGCACCTTTTACATGGAAATATAGGTGGTGTTATATGTCAGTGCCATGCAATACATGATTTACCGATGACTTAACTATCAGAACCAACTAAGTTAATCAACTGTGGTCTACCACTGACGTGGAATTGTCTATATAAGTTACTATTGAGGTATCTGTGTGAGTCTATTACTAATTGATGACTTCTCTGTGAATATCTTTGGACAAACCTTTAAAATGAATGAGAATGAGAATGAGAAATTGCCATACACAGCACAAAAAAAGGGGCAGGGCAATATGAAATGATCAACATTCACGAAGAAAAGACTGGAGATATTTTCAAAACAGTATTTTTGCTGTAATTAATGATCATGATCGTCAATGGACACAGTTTCCAAATGACAAAATAATAGATCAACCATATAATTTTCTGCAACAAATGGTCACTATTTACAAAACAGTTACTTCTTAATTGAATGCTCAACTGGAGTATGTGTCTGAAGTATCATGATTATCAACCAACTAGCACAGCTCGCATTTCAAGTTAAGAATCGTCAAAACAAACCTAAAATCAACATGCTATGATCGGTATATCGAGATCAGTGGAGCAATATAAACATTTACGTTCTGTAACGAATATTTTAATTACTTCTTTTTGCATCTTTTGCAAAAACAAAAAGCAGCATATTTAGACTCATCTGACTCAGGAAAGAAGACAAAATTGGCAATCATCTTCCTCGAACACAAAGCCAAAGTCAGCTGTCATCTCCATCGAGAAAGAGAGATCAAACAGCAATCGTGTACTTGGAGGAACAGGGAATATCGGCCGTTACTCTCATCTCAGAGGACACAGTCGAAAGTGTTCAAGTAGGAGGGCACACCAGACAATAATCTATCTCGAAGGAAAGTAAACTTTCGACAGTTTTCCACATCACGGTAGTGGTCAGCCCTGAAGTGCAGGATGTATAGTTACCAACCATAGTTTAAACAACTAGGAAAGCAGTCAATAGCTACCAACATGGAATCGGAGGGCATACTGGGTGGTCTCCTAACTAGAGCAAAATGGAACGATAGGCATGTATCCACACTGCGAATCAGTAGTCGCCACCCCGATGAGGACGCAATCGACAGGCGTCGACTTCGAGGAACAGGAAAAAGTCAACAGGTATACTCAAATCGCGCTGGACGTCCGGGACAATCGTCTAACTCGGGTAGGAGAGCACAATCGACCATTACCTATATAGCGCTTGATAGTACAATCACACACCGCTTACAGACAGAAGGGACGAATTAGTGCTCTTTCGACTTGATATTGAGTAGTCACATTCGTCGAGAATAAGGAAGGCGCAATAGCCAGTTGCATAACCTGAATAGAAGTCGCATACCTTGATGAACAGGACTTAGTTGGTAGTAGTCTAACTTGAGCAGGAGGACACAATTGGCAGTCACTTACCTCGAGTAGAAGGGCACAATCCGCCACTGTACGCGTCATTGGTCCGAGATGATCCACAGTCATTTCTATAGGTACGGCCCCTGTGTAGGGTATTAGACCGAAAGTTGGTTTGAATCCCACTATCCCACACCAGCTGCATGGAATACGGATAGAGCCTCCCTGGTCAGCGCCGATTGCCATGTCTATCTCTCCTCGAGCAACCTGGTAGTACAAACAATCTTTTACAAGTCATCATATTCAGATTAAAAGTTTTAGCGATTTATTTGTAACAGCAATGTCTTTGGTATACTTTTTTTCGAATCCAGTCGTGACTAGCCTATCGTATATAACAACGATTTGTTAAAGCACTCTATCAATTACTCCATGAATCCTTTATACAGACTGTTATAGACTGTTATATTGCTCCAATAAAACTACAAAATGTTCTTATGTAAAAAATGTCTTGAACCACTTTTTTACGTTGTTCCAGCAACCTTTCAAATATCTTCTTGATAGATAGAAGCTGTAGTCAAAACCAGCTATACACTATTCTATCAGTCAATCTGTGGATGTGAGTTATCCCAAATGACATTTGAACTCATACATAACAATTTATAACGTGGTGTATGCCACCTACAAGAGAAGCGGAACCGCTACTGGATCCTCCCGCCGCTCGAGTGGGACTATAGGGATTTGGAATGGGTCCATTCGAGGAGGTCCATGAAGTTCCCGATAAACACAAATCCTCACATGTCGTCTTGCCAACGATACGTCCACCTGTTGGGATAACACTGTTAGTTGATGCTTGAAGAGACCACTGTTGTACAAAGATAAGATACAATACTAGTTAGAGTCACTGTCTAAATGACAATATGAGAATTATGGGATAAAAAAGAACAAATACATTACAATTCCAAAAACCTTCTACTCACCCTGAAGTGTTACTGAAAATATATATACGTTATAACTACGGTCGTACAAATGAAATACCAACACATAGTCTGACGTAAATCATACGTAAACCCCAATAGCTTGCAGAAATGACAATATGTCGGTAAGCTGTCTCATGATTGCGAAGTAGTGTATTTCTCCTTCCTTTATGTACTATATATACTTTATGAATAAATGGGGTGTTGAGGAAACAAACCCAAAGTTCAACTTATGTAAGATCACTTTTTGTTTCACGGAAAGGTTTCTGTATCCATCAACAACTATTTTCACCGGGCGATCCCGGAAAATATAACAGTTTCAATTGTATTAACTTCATATATTTCCATGGTTGCTTATTAAAAATAAAGGTAATTTAACGAGGAAATCACTTCACCAGCGTCAAGCATCCTCGTGACAATTGTGGCATCGAACTCCGGGGTGTATCCCTCCAGCTGCTTGTTACCATTCATCATGGGAACTCCAGCCACGGCTACATTGTCCTTGACCCCTATAGTTTTACCGGCCAGTTTACCAATGTCGGCACCCTTGATGTCACATCGCCAATACCTAGACACACAAAAATAGCACTTCAGTATCAACAATTTTGATGTCGCCGGTACCTGCACACACTATCATCACCACAGTACAACCCAATACCCCGCGTATACATGTTCCTGTTATCATCTTCAACGCCTCTTTACCAACCTTTGTTTCTTACCATTAACAAGCCAGCACATTCATTAAATAACCTTTTTCGTATTAGTAAATATGTAAGGTAAAATGAAGTTTTGAGCATACTGACCAGGAGTTATCCTTTGTTTCCTTGTGACCCGGTGTTCTTGGATACTTTACCGGCAGTTGTGGTTCTGGGATTTCACTGATACGTTGATAAACATCCATAGTGCCCTTGAAATATTCTGTGTATAACAAAGGCGTTTATGATTGGTGAATGTTTCAGAAGTAGAAAACAATACATTTTGAACAAAATTGGAAATAATTGTTTGGTTCAATTCTTTTTCGAATAGGCATTATGGTCCAATATTTTTATAATAACAGTAAAAGGGGTACTAGGGAGGGGGTAGGACAATAAGAAGGTGGACAGCGCCCGTTTTTCTTAAATACATACAATGGTTTTAACTACGTGAAAGAATGATATGTGTTTACACAATTTTCAGATATACATTGGCCTTGACAAAATGTTAAGGACAAAATTACTGGTGGTTGTTTCCTCTAGATCTGTACCAATAAAATTTACCTGGAGAATGAGTACAACACTTAACTTGAGGCAAAATGAATTAGTCCTCATAGATTCGATTTTTTTAAATGATGCAAACCAACCCTACACCAATAAATAACCTGTAATATAGATAATATTCATACTAAACTTCTAAAGTTTGATATTCACCGATATCTTTCAGATATAAAACTTTAAGATCATACCACGGAATCCGTCTATTTCCTCCTCGCTACACTTCAGGCGGAGGTCGTCTGATATCTGAGTCAGCTCGGACTTGGATGGAAGCAGGACGGCAGGAGTCTTTCGGAACGCTGCGGACATTGTAATCATGTCATGTCATCAAATCATTTTATTACCTATGCTTTGGAGGAAATACAACAATTATAATCACTTGCTATTGGGCAGTAACTGATGGATTAACAGGGAATCCTTTAGCTTCATAGACAGTTGAATTTACAGAAGTCAAACAATTTCTATGACCGTTTATGCTAAATTATCCCATTCATAACGGGAAACAAATTTGATTCAACGAATATCTTTCCTGATTGAAAAACAACAATAACTAGACATTACGAGTACACAATTATCGTAACCGACCTATTTTATTTCTCTATCTATGGTTTGCTGTCCACAGTCAGAAGTACCTGATGCATTTCACAGGGACGTGTAGTCTCAAACAGGTATGCTTAAATAATGAAAATGTATTTATATAGGATTGGGGGCTATCCCATCTTTTTTCAATCTGACAACGTTAAGATTGTGTGTAGTATTAAATCATTTAACTACCAATCAAAGAGAGAAATGTACTCACCACGCTGATTAGGATCCCCCATTATCGTGTCTCTACCTCTCAGGATTGTCTGTCGACATTGAGGTCAGATAAAAGAAATATCGCTTAAAATAACAAATTAGATCATTAATCAATGCTAAAATATGAGACATAAAACCTTAGTGAAATTGATCACTAACATACAATACATTTTTTGTATTTCTTTAGCTTTCGGTATATCCTTGATTCCTGATTTTCCTTGTATATTGACGCGATGGGAAATGTCTTTATGTAGTTTCCCTCGTTCTCGATGATCACGAACTAAATATTAATCTCCGATTTTCCCGATATTTGTAAAACCTTAACATCTAAGTACTCGACATGTATATTCATATAAAATTATACAAGCGTCGCGTTCTTACCGATATTTTCTTGAAATTGGTCACCGTTTGGCATTTGACACGATGTTTGGCATTTTCTCATTCTATGTAAAGATATATTTTGTAGACAGTCCAATTACGTTGTTGTATACTTATTTCTATTCTTTATTCTATATCACGAACACAGGCCACGAGGATCAGATTATATTTTCATTAATTAAATATAATGTGTGAGAGTACATACGATGAATCTGATTGACAAAACAAAGACATCATATATATAACTTGTTTGACGGTTGTTTGATATCGTAAGCTTGACGCAATGCGCTTAATTCTATATATTGTCTATTAACATCTATCTACATGTATACAATACCTTCACCCATCAACCACACATGGTGTCTCTCTAACGTCCTATAACTGACTTTCCGAAGCAACTCTATGCTGAGTTTTATTAGGATATTCTTGTATTTCTTGAGGGTAAAACAGACGACATTTTAGACCTACCTCATAGCCACTTATATCATGCAAAGATCCACATTTAAAAACAAAATCTGGTGGAATAGTTCTTAGTCTTATTTCCTAGCTGATTCCTATTTAAACAAATCTGTTCTACTGAATCCGAATATGTTCAATGGGTAAAGTTATCTGCAAATCGTTTGACTGACGATGGCGGTATACTTTTAGGTTGTGAAATTTCAAGGTACTCTTCTCCAGATGTGTTTACTGAAATTGAAATGCTACGACTATGGCAGAACGTTAGTAAAGCGGCCCTGGTTGGTGATTTTATAACAAAAACTAGATCAGATTATATTCTACCAGATAACAACTTTGAAATGGTTAATATTGATCAAAATGATGTTATATTCTTATTCATATTATTATGAAAAATTATCGTTGTTTCATGTTCCACTACAGAGATGTAGCCAATGCACATTTTAACCAAATGTTCACAAATTTCAATCTTTATATATTACCGACGGTAGAGTTGGAAAAGACAAATTATAGGCAAAAAGACATGAGATAATTATAAGTGTCGTTTAATATTTGTTTGCATCCTCAGAAATGTTTCCTTGTATATGTGGTTTTGAAGTTAATCATTTTGACATTTTAGTCTTTAGATATTCACTGCTGTATTGTGTTTAAACTTAACGCTTCAATGAACAATTCATCCACGTGATAGTCACCATAATGTCATTGAGCGAGGTCATGGTATCTATACCGAACGGAAAGCTGAGAAAAGAACAGTTTGTAAACCATATGCAAGAAGCTGCTAATAAAAAGCGTCAACACATTGTTCAAAAAATAGATTTACTATAAAAAAATGTTTTAGTAAATTCCTTTGAGATAAATGATATACAGTTTAGTTGCTTCAGTGAGCAATTCATTCAAAGATACAGCAAAACATGTTTTTGGGGACAAGAAAGTGTATACAAAATTGTACAGTATTCGGAATATTAAAGCTTGGTTTTACATGCGAATGCCATATTAAGAGATCAAACTTCTATAATGTTATTATGTAAATAACAATCAGGTAAACAAAATTACTCGTAAATATACAGGTATATAATACAGAAGAACTTCAAATAAGTGCTATAAAATTCAGAAAGAAAAGATGGGATCAAAATTATTGGGAAAGCTTCAAAATAAATCCTTGATATTCATGGGTTACGCTCACTTACGCTCTCTACAGAGCGTAAGTGAGCGTAACCCATGAATATCAAGGATGCAAAGTAGGAACCGAAAATATTTTGAAATATCCTTAATGAATTAGACGGGAATAGTAAATGTAAAAAAAACTAGAAAGAAACATTGATAGATTATACAACCATTTTTACTTTTTACTTCTTTGTGCAGATGACCCAATTATTATGTCCGAATCGGCAGAGGAATTCAAGTCTGCTTTGAACACTTTTTGGTGGTATTGTACAGTTTGGAAGCTCTCTGTGAATACTAATAAAACCAAAATTGTTAGATTTTTTAACACAAAATGTTAATCACAATTTCATTTTACATTATGTTATGAAAAGTTAGAGATTCTCGAATCAGTCTCCTAGTTTGGTATTTTAATGAAATATATAATCCATTGAGATTTGAATTGACGATTTTGCGTAAGTACGCCAAACTTTATGGTTAATGGTTAGGTAGGAAAATGTCCGTGGAATATTAAAAATCCTGTAATAAAGATTACTTGAAATGCATTGTAAAATAAATATTACGATATCAACTTATCTTAAAATGGTTTAATGATAAAGAAACCTCTTCAAGAGGACCCACCTATTCGATTTTAAGAACAAATATTTTGATCTTGAAAATTACCTTATTAAACTTTAGCAAAACGGCAGACAAAATATAATTGAATTTAGAACTTCAAATATGCATCTTTCAATGGAAGCTGGAAAATGGGTCGGCCTATCCCGAGAAAACAGAACTTCTAATCTATCTTTTGATGGTATTGGAGATGAGTTCCACTATTTGGTTAAGTTTGAACATGTATTAATTAAACAAGTAAGACAATTATATATACCAAAATATGATTATTCTTTTCCAAGCCTTATGAAAATGATAGGATTATTGGCTATTTGCAATGTACAAGTAATATTATCTCCGAAAATTTCTAGGAAGACTAGAAATATTATTGAATATATAGATAATTCATTTGTGATCTTTGAATGTATTATTGGCTGCCATGTACAATGAGTGTTATGTATACTTGACTTTTTGTAACATACTTTGTTGAGAGTAATAAAAATATTGAATCTTGAATCAAAACCTTAACCTTATTGTTGCACTATGTATTTAAATCACCAAAAATAATGGTTTCTCAAAATGTCTTGACTGACCCTACTTAACAATATCCTCTGTGTCAGACCAATATTTAACAGTTTATCTGTTAACACTCAAAATATTCTCTGGCTCAGTACAAAGCTGAAGACTATTTTCATTCATTTGCACCCGGGGAAACTTTTGAAACTGTCCTTCCAGCACTGATTTAAGGTCCGTCCAGTGGGTCATTAAAATCTGGTGGTTTATCTAACAATTAATCTTGCTTTGCATTTTTTAACAATCGCTATCTAAGGTAACTACACATTAGATCCTAATTTCACTGTCAGCACTGTTCTCAAAATCATTAAGAACTTTTTATTTATATAATCACTTACTGGAATTCGAACTATTAACAAAATACCAGTCTGGATTTATTCCTGGTGACTCTACTGTTTATCAATTATTATCCATGTATAATACTATTATACAAAAACTTGATGAAGGACTTGAAATTAGATCAATTTTTTTGTGATGTAAGCAAGGCATTTGATCGTGTCTGGCATCCTGGCTTATTATTTAAACTTAAAAATATGGTATTAAAGGAAATCTCTTCAATTGATTTAAAGATTACTTAACTAATCGTAAACATAGAGTGATAACAGAAGGCTTCTTCTCATCATATAGACAGGTAAGTGCCTGTGTCCCCTAGGGATCAGGCCTCGGTCCGTTTCTATTTCTGATTTATATAAATGATATTACTGAATGTATAACAAATGAGAAACTACTATTTACCGATGATACATCTCTTTTTAAGGTTATACAGACTACTCCACTCGATGCAGCCGCTAGTCTATCCAGTGATCTTGAAAATGTTAATATATGGTCTAGGAAATGGGACATAAATTTTAATCCTACTAAAACGGAATCTTTAACTTTTAGTCGGAAAAGAAATATAATATCTCCTGATATCATCTTTCAAAATGAAACTATAGCAAATGTGTCAACTCATAAACATCTTGGTGTATTTTTTTCTGAAGATGGTAAGTGGCATCACCATATCAACTTTATTTATAATAAAGCGTATAAACGTATAAATTTATTGAAATCTGTAAAATATAAAATGAGTCGTAAAACACTAATCACTATATATATCGCTTATATTAGACCTATACTTGAATATGGTGATATCATTTTTGATAATTGTACTCAGCAGGAGGCAACTTTACTTGAATCTATCCAAATAGAGGCTGCTCGATTAATTACAGGACTGCGTAAAGGAACCTCACACTATAAAATTTATTGTGAACTTGGTTGGGACACCCTTGCTGCAAGACGGAAAAAACACAGACTTATTCTTCTATACAAAATTCTTACAGGAACTGCACCCACTTATTTAACTGAATTAATTGAACCCTTTTTCAACAATATGAACCCATACCTATTAAGAAATGAAAGAATCTTTACAATTCCTATGTGCAGAACAAATACTTATGCCAAAAGCTTTATTCCGTCTTCACTTAAAGATTATAATGAACTTGCAGCAAGGTTTGACCTAACTAACATCACATCACTATACCAGTTTAAAAAACTTTTAAGAAGAGCTGTTAGTGACATCATGTTATTAGACACAAGTAGAAACTTTACCTATGTCAACACAGGTGATAGAAAATACAACATCATACTCTGCCAACTTAGAAATTCTTCGAGTAACCTTAATTTTGATCTACACAGAGATCATCTTCTCGAATCACCAACTTGTACCTGTGGTAATGCCCATGAAACAGTACATCATTTTTTTCTCATTTGTAATAAGTATGATGAACCACGTAAAACCCTCAAGGATAAAGTATTTGATGTTAATCACAATCACTACACTCTAGATGTACTTCTATTTGGCAGTGGTGATTGTGATGAACAAACCAATGTAAATATATTTGAATGTACTGCCGCGTTTGTCACAGCTACACATAGATTTCCGCATATATAATACATTATATATTTCTGATTGATATTATGTCTCTTAAATATGAAAACCATCAGTTATGATTGTGCTTCTACATCATAAACGTTGTGTCATTATCACCCTTTCTTTTTCCTATGGCCGCCTTTCCCCCTTTTGATCTGATAGGCATATATTTTTTTATGTTTGTATGCTATGTATCATTCATTATAATTATTGCAGTGTTGTTATATGTGATAGAATAATAACTAAGTAAGGACAATCTCATAATGGTGGACAAATTCATTTAGCATCTTTCTGTTTACTCAATTTTGTCATTCACTTAGTAAAAAAAAAAATTAAAAAAAATCTGAAAATAATGTAAAATCCTTGATTTACCTTCTTATTAACAAATCGTTACAAAATATTGATTTGAATCCACCAATACTTCAAAATCTGCCAAATTCTCTCTTAATTATCTTAACTATGAAAATCAGAATGCAGTATCCATGACTGGCCCCAAAACTCATGGGTGGATGACCAGTGGCTGATAAGCCAATATGGACATTTTTGGTCTGTATCCCATGAGTGGAGGGAATCCTGTCATGGATGCTGGATTCGAGGCTCTAAAAAAATAATTATAAGTTTGGAAAACATAGTGAATACACTATTTCACATATTATAACAACTCTTAAATTTTTGTCCTTACTTCCAAACTCATATTTTATATTTAAACATTTTATGTTTCATACTTAAAATAATCAACTTTGAAATTTCAAAATAACAACATACTTTATTATTTAGGTATATATATTTATACACCCACTATTACCTTTAGTAGAGAACTAATATAGGCTATGCCTGTTGTTCAATCCTTTTTCTAAATGAAATAAAATTTGTTGAAATGAAAATTAAGAACTTTTCTGCATCTATTTTCAGCACCAGACATCTGATGAATATCTAGTCTAAAGATACAGTCATATGGAAAATTATACCATATAAACAGTACAGTCAATGTTCATACCTTCTATGTCGAACTTCGGAGGTGACTCTTACATCGGTCGGAATCAGCAATTCATCCTCAATAAGCTTGTTATTCATTATCGTTACGCTTGATCCTGTATCCATCAACATGGAAACCCGTAATTCAGATATCCTAACGACACAAACACTGATGCACTAGTTCCTGGCATGTGGCGTGAACACATCAATGGCGACACAGACATCTTAATCCAATTTCGGCTTGAGCATAGGGCCAAACCTAGTGACACAGGTATCCGTTCCTCCAGCAGTCATGGCTTTGTATATCGCCGATACCTCGTTTTCTGGCTTGAGCGAATCCCCGGCGACACGGATAACCCAATCCGATTAAAGCGAAGATTCCACATTTACCGGTATGAGTGATCCTGGCGACACAGAGACCCTTGTCCGATTCAAGTGCATGGCGAGACAACGAACCCCATCCAGCTTGATCGCAGAGACAAACCTGAATCTTCAACTTCCCCGTCCTATCCAATCACCTATTTTCCTAATTTTAGTAGCCAATGTGTCCTGTGTAACTTTAGTAGGAAACTTATAGATCTGTTAACATAACCACTGCACAATTCCCCTGAAAAAAAATGTTCTCGTCCGATGTGTCGAAAAAGTCAGCTTACCTGTCACATGAATATGATGGTAGAATTTTGTCTTTGTTCCTGATCCAGGAAGAAATATCATCATCCAATGATCCGTTAAATATTGAAATCATTACATTGAAAAACAATGTTGATTTTCCTTTTTTTCTCATATATTGCGCTTAGGATTCTTCGTATTCTTCACCTATGGTAAATGATCTTCCTGTCGACAGTACCTCCTCTAACACATCTTGGTTGAGATCACAAATACGTCCATGTCCGTTTTTGTTTCGAATGTTCCACCCAGCTGCCAAAAAAAGTGAAGGGTTTACTGGTTTGTCGTTTGATATCGTAAGCTTGACTCATTACGCTTAATTCTGTTTATTGTTTATGTACATCTACTTACATATATACAATGAAAATTCTTTCACTCATCAACCACAGTTCAAATGTTGGCTCTCTAACGCACGTTCTATAACTGACTTTCAAAACACTATCACACCAAATTTTATCATTAAGCAAACTCAGACCACACACAATATCCTGTTCCTGTTACTCTAGTAATTTTCTATCAATATTTCACCCTAAACCTTCGACCGTATTGTCAAGATTAATTGCTCTCATAAAGTCCCATGATTTCACCTCAACTCCTTATCTTAAAACTGATAACCAATGGCGGACCACCTCCCGCCACTCTCCGATTCACACAGCTCTGACAATCTGATAATCCAATTAATAAAAATCACTGACCCTCTGTCCCCCTAACTAATTATTTCTCTTTCCTCATCTTCACAAAGATAGCACTCATTCACATAAGTAACTAAATGGAAAAATAATATATATAAATGAAAATATAAAAAATAATAAAAACAAAATATAAAAAATACAAATGTTCGTTCATATTTGATTGTATATGTGCCTCGGCGGTAAACATAAGTCCATCAGTTTATTATTTTTCCTTTGTAGTAGGTTTTGAAATCTGTAAGCTGGATTATCTATTTCCGGTCAAAGTACTACTAGTGAAATAGTTCCTTCCTTTCATGTAAGTGAAAGCTTATGTGCTGAATGCTTCACAAAATACTATCGTGTTTAATATTTGTTTCATGTGTCAATGACTTTTATGAAAATGTTAATTCGGATGTATTCCTGCGCTATAGCTGTGTCTGTATCGATGCGAGGCTTTAGATCGAGACAGACTCGTTTACGGCTCTGTTAGCTTTATGAACTTTACGACATTGAGAATAAGGCAGTGTAACCAAGCTAACATAAAACAGAAACAAGGACGCTGGAGACAGCCATCTGTTGACTGTCATCCCAGTGTGACAGCTTTATGAACTGAACGCTCCTTCTAAATTGTCTGTCACAATACAGTAACGTTGTTTCTCATTAGGAGAAATAATGATTTTGTGCGTAGATTAATTTCCATATGTGTGTCATGTTGTAAAAGAGCAAATTGTTAATATTGAACATCAGATATACTGAACTGTAAAACCCGTACCTACTCCAATGGAATATGGTGAAAACGACAAACAAAGTTAATATGTTTTAGTTTTTAATATTTTGGATACATAACAAAAAAGGGAGAGTCACCTTCTATGCATTCTTAATCTTCTTGTCACTTTCCCTGATTTCATTTTGGTTCTTTAAAAAAAAAAGATTTTCAATAATTTCGTATTTCAGAGCAATTCAGTCATTTAATATTTCCTAATTTTATGTATTGGTTAATATCTCTTTAAAATTCCATAAAAATGGGTCATGATCCCATCGGGGTCTCGCCTGATTATTTTAATAAATGGACAGTTACTCGGAACTCATAACGCAAGAATTGTGAAAATGAAAAATCGTTTTGATATTTCGCTCTGTCTGGAAAAATAGAATGTTAAATTAGGTGTCACAGACAGTGAACCTATTGGTGAATAATGTCACAATTACATGACATATTCATAGTGTTTACGGTGATCTTCAGTCAGATTTACTATATGTTCTCTCACACAATGTATCTAATTAGTAGGTATATGGATTCAGTGACATTCGTATTGTTCAATGTGTATCTGTATATCGTTAACACAGAACATCTTAACCTCAAATATTGACCTCAATATATTATCGCAGACACATATATAAGGCGGGTGTCACGTCGGCAGTTGGACCATACAAATCCCCTACAAGACATCGGTAAGCGAACAAGTCATGTTTAAGTTATTGTAAGTATGGAGAAAATTAGAAATATATATTTTATAAAACGTTTGCACATCAAATCGATTAAAAAACGACAACAACGGGAACGAAGAAGATAACAAATGAAGAGGAAAAACAAAAGCTGTATCATAAAGTTACTCAAAATTTCATTCTTAAAAAATTGATGATAAAGAATATGTTTTGGAGTATATGAATTCATAAGCATTAAGAACTGTCATAAACTTGGTTCGAGTTTCAAACTTCGTTCTTACGAATTTTGTCACAATATTCGCAGATATCCATGAGAGGTCCTAAAGTCCTGCTACAATCATCTAAAGTCAGGGACGACAATGGGCGATCCTAAACAGCCTGGTAAGTACACTCCCTCCTTTGATTGACACTGAAGGAACGGATCAAAAAGTATAATGAAACAGTAAGAGGTGAAAATTAAATAGCGCACCAAAAGCTTTAACTATATACAACGAACGTGAGTGTAATCAACTTCAAAAATGTTTGAGATAGTTCATAATTAATTAATAATAATTTGAGGATCTTCTATACCGCTTTTAGCAAAACCTAGGTCGTAGGTCGTCTCAAAGCGATTCACAAATTAGTATCCTACGTTATTAGACCTTTGCAACCAGCCAATATATTTCTTAAGTCTCTGGGGAGCATACAGCCGGTGCTGCCATTAAGGCGCTCACAGCTAGCATTCAACAATTCAGAGTAGACTGGAACAAGGAGTTGCTAAATGCTGTGTCATTAAAAAACGCAACCTGAATTAAGAAGAATGGTTTCCACACATCATATTTCTATTTGAACTACGATGTATATGAAACACACATATATATTATATACATGGTATGCTAAGGAAATCTATTTGAGATTTCGTAATTTTAAGTGTTTGTTCGTTCATCAGTTCTTCTCCCAATTAACACTTATTCTATGCCGTAATGTAAGTATCCAAAACATTTATTGATTATACAATATCGTACATATTGTCTACAGAATTCCGAAAGACTCCTGCCGTCCTGCTTCCCTCCAAGTCTGAGCTGACTCAGATATCAGACGACCTCCGCCTGAAGTGCAGCGAGGAGGAAATAGACGGATTCCGTGGTATGCTCCTAAATAATGTTACCTGATATTTATCGAGGGATATTTAAGAAAATCTGTTTTTTATTCAGAAGCAGTAGTGAACTTTACCAAAAATATATATACCGCATACAAGAAATGTTCGTCCAGTCAAGCTTAATACTGACAGTGGGATCATTGATTGCCATTTTTGTTATATACAGAGTATTTCAAGGGCACTATGAAAGTTTATCAGCGGATCCAGGAAATCCCAGAACCACAACTTCCGGTCAAGTATCCAAGGACACCTGGTCACAAAGAAACAAAAGATAATTCCTGGTCAGTATGTTTAACACACAAAAAAATGTTCTTCAGTTTACTTGATTAGGGTTGATGCACAAATGGGTATATGTCAAGAATATTGTATTTTGGGGGTTATGAGCTACACCTGAAAGTGTGTCTGGTAACCCGCGATGTGGCATTAAGATTGTGGATACTATATTGTGTATAGGTATTTGCGATGTGGCATTAAGATTGTGGATACTATATCGTGTATAGGTATTGGCGATGTGACATCAGGATTGTGGATACTATATTGTGTATAGGTATTGGCTATGTGACATCAAGATTGTGGATACTATATTGTGGATAGGTATTGGCGATGTGACATCAAGATTATGGATACTATATTGTGTATAGGTATTGGCGATTTGACATCAAGATTGTGGATACTATATTGCGTATAGGTATTGGCGATGTGGCATTAAGATTGTGAATACTATATTGTGTGTAAGTATTGGCGATGTGACATCAAGATTGTGGATACTATGTTGTGTATAGGTATTGGCGATGTGGCATTAAGATTGTGGATACTATATTGTGTGTAGGTATTGGCGATGTGACATTAAGATTGTGGATACTATATTGTGTATAGGTATTGGCGATGTGGCATTAAGATTGCGGATACTATATTGTGTGTAGGTATTGGCGCTGTGACATTAAGATTGTGGATACTATATTGTGTATAGGTATTGGCGATGTGACAGCAAGATTGTGGATACTATATTGTGTGTAGGGTTTGGCGATGTGACATTAAGATTGTGGATACTATATTGGGTGTAGGTATTGGCGATGTGACATTAAGATTGTGGATCCTATATTGTGTATAGGTATTGGCGATGTGACATTAAGATTGTGGATACTATATTGTGTGTAGGTATTGGCGATGTGACATCAAGGGTGCCGATACTGGTAAACTGACCGGTAAAACTATAGGGGTCAAGGACAATGTAGCCGTGGCTGGAGTTCCCATGATGAATGGTAACAGACAACTAGAGGGATACACCCCGGAGTTCGACGCTACAATCATTACGAGGATGTTAGACGCTGGTAATATGATTTTGCCCGTTATTTCATGTCATAGTTCATCTTCATTGACATTATTTATCTTCCTGTTTGATAAACTGTCATTGATATCTAAATAGTCCACATACTGGTTAGCTATTAAGGTAACTCCTGGCGATGACCGTTTTTGTTCTCACGGCAGATATCCATTTTTTATTACAAAAAATTCTTGCAGAAACCTGTTGATGTTGACCAATAATTTAATCAAGCCTGGAGTTGGTAAACATGATTTTAAATGTTCTGGTTGTATGATCAAAATGATTTCTCGACAACTCCAAATATTTTTTTTAAGTAAACGGTATGTCGAAAGACTGAATTCATTTCTGTTTTAAGCTGACAAGTGAGCACGCAGAGTTGTGTCAGGTCGTGGCTTACCATGTATGGGGTGTTTTGTATTTTTATGAACATGCCTGACATTATGTAAACTAGCTCAAGTTCGATATATATTCTCAACATTTTTAGCAAAATCTTTATCTTCCGTTTATCAGTGAAGTACTTTATTTTGTATGGTGACGTTGGGGTTGAATTGGTGTATCACCAAGGCTAACGGTGTTCTTTATACAGGCGGGCGTATCGTTGGCAAGACAACATGTGAGGATATGTGTTTGTCTGGAACGTCATGGACTTCCTCTTCAGGACCAATCCCGAACCCGTACTGTCCCACTCGAGCGACGGGAGGGTCCAGTAGCGGTTCCGCTTCTCTGGTGAAAAGTACACTCCACGCAAACACACTGGGTTGTCAGCTCCCATTCCTTAGTGCTAACTCTATTTCACTGATACTTTGTCCATTTGTGGTAGTGTTTATAATAAACTAAGGCTATATATTCTTGTTAAATGAATAGGATGCTAGAACGACTTGAAAAATGACTGTAAGGGTCTGTGTAAATAGTGATGGAAATACATGAAGGACAGGTGGATTGTAACCAGGAAGAACGTTGTTTTAAGTAGTGGGTCTTAAATTAAAGTAGGGGAAATACCATTACTCTGTGTTGCGAACAACCGGTTTACCGACTGCCATTTTGATCATTCAATGTCAATGGACACAAACTACTCTACGTAATAATTGATCTTCGTGTTGTATTGAAATTAAAGACATCTTTGTACTAACAGGTCGCTCGAGGAGAGATAGACATGGCAATCGGCGCTGACCAGGGAGGCTCTATCCGTATTCCATGCAGCTGGTGTGGGATAGTGGGATTCAAACCAACATTTGGACTCATACCCTACACAGGGGCCGTACCTATAGAAATGACTGTGGACCATCTCGGTCCAATGACGCGTACAGTGGCGGATTGTGCCCTTCTACTCGAGGTAAGTGACTGGCGACTGTGGCCTTCTTGATTTTCGGTGACTTGATTGTACAAACCGCCTTGCAAGTAAAGCAATTTTGCAGTGCATGAGTCGACTACTTTCTTTACACAAGAATCTGCCCAAATAGAAATACGTCTTTGTTGTCAGTTTTTATTAAAAATAAGTGGAGTGGAGATTTTTTGCATGGATGAACAATTATATATAGTTGAGAGCACCATTCCTATTTCCATGTTGCAGGTGCTAGCGGGATATGATGACGGGACAGACCCCCGACAACCACCAAACATCGTAGTTCCTCCCTACTCAACCCTAGCAAGTACATACGTGGTCCTCCATGAATGGACAAATTATCATTTATTAATATAGATATACGAAATAACAGCATTAAAAGACAATTACATAAACTTTCGACTTTTTTAAAAACCTAATGTATAGACAAACATATTATTCAGTAAACATTACGGTTTGTTCCTTACAGCTCACGAAGGGCGTGGAAGGTAAACGAGTCGGCATCCTGACAGAAGGTTTTGACGGAGTGGACTATGACGTTTCGAAATGTGTCAGAGAGGCAGCTTACAGACTCCGAGAGTCGGGGGTCGTGGTAGAGGAGGTGTCCATACCACTGCATACTGACGGTAGGTCGCAATTTGGTGCATACTTTCAATGGCGACGGTAAACATAAATGAGCTGTTCAGTAACATAATATCTTACTGACATATTTGTTCCTCGTGTACTATTTATAGTGAAATTAGGTTTCAGTGTCCGAAGTTTCAAAGTTTCATCTAATAGAATAAAAGCATTCCTTAAAATTGTGTGTGTGTTACGTTAACCTTTCAATATACAAGGTGGAAGACTCTGCTAGTGGATTTTTTTAGTCCTCGAGGTTTGTTGTAACCTTAATGGCCACAGTTATCTCTTTTGAGTTGTGGGACGGTTCATAATATACACACTAAATATGAGTTTAATTTGAAATCAACTAGTTCTCCTCGAAATTTTGAAATGCATAGGTTAAGGGTGTTTAACGCACCTGCCCCTCTGTTACAACTGTTGTGTAGACCAATTTGGATGTCCAACATGTTTGCCTCTAGCATCAGCGATGAGTCTTAGAACGACGAATAGCTGTATGATGCAGTGAAGGTCATTTTTGGCATTCAGTATTTATTACTTAATGTTAAAGGTGCACTATTGTTTGATTGTTACGTTCATCCCTCTTATTGTTACGTTCATCCCTCTGAGATATCCGAGTGTATATACTTTCACTTACCAGCATCCATCTGAGATATCCGAGTGTACATACTTTCACTTACCAGCATCCCTCTGAGATATCCGAGTGTACATACTTTCACTTACCAGCAGATGTTTAGATATGGTACTGAAACATTGGGAATATTTACGAAAAAATGAGATATTGATGCATTTCCAGAATCCAACACATGACATTTTGTTTCCAAGAATCTTGGCTAGCATCAACAATAAATATAAAAAAAATACGTAAAATCAGCAATATGTTGTTTTTGTGAAACTACAAAGAACAAGTTGGAGATCGAACAATTGATTTGTATTTTTAAATTGCATACAACATTATTCGCTTCTATTTCGTAGGGTTGGGGTTATGGATTCCAATAAGTTACGAAGGAGCCTATAACATGATGTTTAAAGGAAATGGTGAGTGTTATTCACAGTTATAATTGATTAATTTCCCATTCACTTGGTCGGATATGATACTTTGATCTTTAAACTATACAAAAATACAAATAAATGGTTATTGCAATGTCTTCTGAGAGATCTAAATTGATCTGTAACTTGGTTTATTTCGATTTGTGACCATGCTTTTATTTGACCGATCTCAGCAGTCGTGAAATGAATTGTCGTCACAATTAGTGAGGCGACCATTATTACCGTTATGCTATAGGAAAATGATACAGAAAGATATTTGTATCAGGAAAAGATGTGCATGGTATCTATAATTTCAAATTGAACAAATGAGATGAAATGCAGTTCCCGATTTCTGTTATTCGAAGACAAAAAGAGATTTGCCATTCACATGTTGTTCAACCGAATATAACACAAATCTTGCCGACTTGCAATGCACCAAGCAGTCAATAAAATCATGTTTTTTTCTTGTTGGTAGTGTGAAAATCAAAAATAGTTTGTGTTTGTAGTTTTCAAGAGACAACTTTACATTGTCCTTACTCAAGTTAAACTTAGTTTTCAAGAAACAACTTTATATGGTTCTGATCTCAAATTCGGTCAATTTTACCAGGGAATGGAGAGAACTGGAAGGGACATTACTGCACTTCCATGCAAGAAGCCTTAGCCCGAGGGTTCAACCTCCGCCCGCACGACATCAGTATCGTTTGTAAAATGCAGTCTGTTCTTTCCGAGTACATGGTCAGAAACTACCAGAACAAATTCTACGCCAAAGCCCAGAACATCAATCGTCTGCTCACCAAGGCGTACGACCAAGCGCTACAGACATACGACATTCTAGTTATGCCAACACTGCCTTGTACAGCCAATGAGCTACCCACAACTGACAGACCCGTGTTAGGTACTTCACACTAACGTCAATGTCAAACTGCTCGTGGTTCGTTGTAATGTTAATTTGTTCTGGCCTCGGGATCACGAAACAATCTTAGACTTACGTTTTTGCAATCACGTATGCAGTCACTTTTCGTAACTTTTTCTTTGATTGGGTAATTCAAACTTAAGAAAACTTTAGACTTAAGACTGTTTTATGATATCGGAGTCTGGAGTTGGTAGAATGAAATGTGACGATGGACTTTCTACCGCAATCGCTTGGTATAATTTGGTACATAATCGAGCGTATACCCAGTGATACGGTTTTCTCTCGTGTACCATATCACTCATTTCACAAGCTGTAAAAGGATAAAAGTCCCTGTTTTAATACACACAGCTGCCATAATGAAACCACCCAATGTTGGTTTTTTTTTTAATTTGTCCCGAAGAGCCAGTATTGTTTTCCGAGGGTTGCAACTTTTTTCAGTCGAAACTTATCTCTATGTCATTGCCTATTTAAATTTTGACCACCTGTGAAAAGTACAGTAATAAATAATAAATAAGTAAAACGAATCCAAAAATTCCACAATAAGTTATTTGTTGAAAAATATATGATAATAATTTCTCCAGAAATGTACATATGTATGTACACAGTGATAGATTGATGATGTGACTATGGATAAGGGACCTAGAATTGTACAAAACGAACTTGTTTGGTCACAAAAAGTGAAATAGTTACGATATACAAGAAAGTAGTATAAATCGTGAATCGGTTCCTTAATTGTTGTTTGCGATCACAAAGTTCGTTGAAAGAACTTTAATACGAACTATATATGTTAAAATAGTATTTCTAACTATTTTATTATCAAAACCTTATTTTTTACATGAACATATTCATCTAATATAGATATAATTTTGTAACTTTTAGATATTTTTACGAAATTTTGGATTCACCCAAATAGAAATGACATGATGACTTAACTACACGTCGGTATTTGACAACTCACAAAATAATAACAGCTTCGTTTATAACAGCAAGTCCGAGCAAGGTTTTGTTCAAAAGCGATTCGTCGTTCAAATCATCCGTATGTATTTCCAGTGGATGGCTTTTTATGCAAGATGTCGTTAAATTCGCTTGGTAAATGTTATCTTTACAATTTGGTTAAAAAAATCACCACAAATCTTGTTTCATAGGGATATAAAACCGATATAGATTTGTTAGTATGCCTTCTTCCTAAAATAAGAAAAGATCAATAAACGAGCTGTAGCAACAAACCCTAAGCAAAGTGCACCCACTGGTTTCTGCAATCAAAAGCCCAGGTAAATTGCAGCTGAAATGTTAACTACTTTGTCGACTTGGTGTTATAAAAAGGTAATATATAGTGTTAATGAGCAAATCAACTGACAAGAGAAACGACATCTTGTTTTATTTAAGAATGCCATTAAGTGTGAAATATTTATTCCTAAAATAAGAAAAGATCAATAAACAAGCTGTAGCAACAAACCCTATGCTAAGTGCACCCACTGGTTTCTGCAATCAAAAGCCCAGGTAAATTGCAGCTGAAATGTTAACCACTTTGTCTACTTCGTGTTTTAAAAAGGTAATATATGGTGTTAATGAGCAAATCAACTGACAATAGAAACGACATCTTGGTTTATTTAAGAATGCCATTAAGTGTGAAATATTTATTCCTAAAATAAGAAAAGATCAATAAACAAGCTGTAGCAACAAACCCTATGCAAAGTGCACTCACTGGTTTCTGCAATCAAAAGCCCAGATAAATTGCAGCTGAAATGTTAACCACTTTGTCGACTTCGTGTTTTAAAAAGGTAATATATGGTGTTAATGAGCAAATCAACTGACAATAGAAACGACATCTTGTTTTATTTAAGAATGCCATTAAGTGTGAAATATTTCTTTCTGCAAATTGATCTCTTACATCATAACGATCAATGTTAAATCGATGTTTCATAATACAAGGTGTGGCATAATTCATGGTAGGCTCAGAACTCGTGGTGCAAATCCAAGAACTATACAAGGTGTCTACATTTAATTTTCAATATATTTTAGCTAGATCAATATTTAGTTGGCTTGTTGTAATGATGAGCTACATTTCCCTTTACCTAGATCAAAACAAGTTCCTTTAAATAAATCTAATTCCTCTTTTCTTCAGACACTCTTCGCCTAACTCTTGGAATGATGAAGAACACGGCTCCATTTGACGCCACCGGACATCCGGCCTTGACCGTCAACGCCGGAAGTTGTGAAGGGCTTCCAGTCGGAATAATGTTCGTTGGCCGCAGCTTCGATGACCTTATGGTCTTGCAAATGGCGCATGCCTTTGAACAAATCAGGGACCAACCGTCTTAAACTGCATGCAACGTTTGAATAGCATGACCCATGTCGTCGCAGTAAGATTATCTGTAGACAACATAGGTACGCCACATTATTTAGTGAATTAATAATGGAAATTTGAACTGATAGAAAATGGGTATCATTTATCACTAGATATTTACTTAACGAACAATATATTTATTTAGTCAGTTGTTAATGCATCTGTGACTCTGGTCGTATCCACACTGAAGCCAACTGTTTTACTGACTATAAAACTGTACAGTCAAATAATATGTACATTATATTGTATAAGGGGTATAAAGGCAATGCTGTTATTGATAATGGACACACAATCTAAAATAATGATTTTATCAAAATAACTGTTTGTTTAATAAAAGTTTAATGGAAACGCGTGATTTTTTCCTAAAATTAAATGTTTTGTCCATCATTTTTTTTTTTTTTTTTTAGTTATATGTTTGTATTGGAAATCCCGATGGTCCCGAGGTCGATTTTTTAGTTTATATATGATATTGTTAAACACAGATAAAATATTTCGTGTACCTGACTTACATGTTGTGATAAACAAAATGAGGTTGGCTGGAGGAGAAAATTTCGACATCGCGTCTAGCAAAAAATAAAAGCATCAATTGTTGTTTGTCTTTTTTCTCTTCAAATAGGTACGTAGGTACATATTATTCGTGCGATATATTTCAGCCAGTATGTGAGATCGTATAGATGTCGTGAAAAGTTATGGGGTTACATGCCCGACCATGTGGGTTTTCTCCGGGTACTCCGGTTTCCTCACACATTAAGACCCCCGCGTGCTAACATTCGGGCCAACAAGAATGATTGATATAAGTTGTAATAACTTGTTTCATAATTGTTGTAAAACAAATAAAGTTATATAATATATCTTACATAAGGCCGCCAAAAAATGGCCATAATCGCAGGCTCTGAAATTCTGAACAGGCGACTGGTCAGAATTTTGGAGACTGCGTTTATGGCCAGCTTAGCGGACTCGTTTTATATATAACCGTAGTTTTATATAAAACCATAGTTTTATATAAAGCCAAAGTTTGAATAAAACCTGTAACTGTAATTTATTCTGGCACGGTTTACATGAAATAGAATATATACAACGTGATAATGAGTTAATAGGCACATTTCCGCTTTTGCTATATTATACTGTTATATATATTTCGGCTCATTTTAGCTATGTTGTTTCACATCCGGCTAACCTCGACTGATTCCGGTACCCTTCATCAATGTTTGATGTAGGTACGGAATATGCCGAGATCTGCCGAGATGTGACGAGTATGAGTTGCATTCTTTTACATTTAGTACCACTGATGAGCCTTAGATGGACGAAATGGTTACATAGTGCAGTTAATGTTGGCTTCATTTGACTCATTGCATCGACTAACTAAAGATTTAATTATGTGCTTCTTGATTTGTTAATTATATTGCTTATATTATTGATATGCGAAATGCTAATGTATGCATTTGTCCTTCTTATCAAACTAAAAGCAAAATATAAATTAGATAGGTATGTTTCATCTAAAGTGTAGACAGGCCAAACTCATTGTGAATGTTCGAGTTGTCTGCATTACCTCATTGTGAATGTTCCAATTGTTTGCATTAAATAAATGAATAAATTTGATACTTTTAATATTAAAAACTGTCCTCTTCGGTGTGACGTCACGGTCTGGCTGGCATATTTCTCCTACTTGTTTATATGGAGAAATGAATATAAATATTGCGTTCCCTCTTGACGAAACTCTACTTCGGTGGAATGTGCAAAACCAGACTAAGTGCAATTCCAACAGATGTGTATGGCAAATCACTCATTGAAGTATTATCTCTCTAAAACATTATACATTTTACATAAGAGATAAGAAAAGGCCTAACTTTTTTTAATCTAAGAATGAAATAACCCTTCATCAATGTGGTTTAGAAGCAACCAACGATCATCTGATTAGACTTTCATACAAAAAGCATTCGCCACGAAACAACACATTGTCTTTGTGATATTTGACATTGAGAAAGAAGGCCTGTGATACTACATAGCAGTGTCGTATCATGAAAGATCATCTCCCCCATTTTCATATCCAATTACCTATCCAACAGACATTTCAAAGTGTTGGTTTAACTTTCTTTGAAAATGTTAAACCGAAAATAGTGATCCCACAGGGTGAAATCCCTTCACTCACACTTTTTGGTCTGTAGTCTGTATAAGAAACCTCCTTATTAGCGTAGATATGCAAAAATACGTTTTCTAAGGATGCCGAGCCACGTCGGATTTTACGAAGGTAGTGAAAACGCTGACAGAGCTGTCATACACAAACATTTAACCCATTATTCGATCGGTCATACAAAAGATATGGCAGCAGCGATGTTATCACGAAAGCAGCGACCAACTTTCAAAAATTTCAATAGCTTAACTTTTCTGCCCATTCAGCAAGATCTCAGAGAGGAGGTTGTTCTTTCATTAGTTTCAAAACTATAAAATATTTTTCTGAGTATCTTTCAAAAGTATTTCATATATTTGCAAACGAATATTTTATATTTTTCATAAGCTGACTAGAAATCGGGAGACCACTGTGAGTTGAGAGTCACCTGCGTGGCATCCCCACCCCGAGTAAATTGTTGATATGATATAGTTGATATAGTAGTAGACACCAATGGTAAGTTTCAGGTAGCTTCTTGCGGCGCGTTTTAATATTCCTATACTAATACGTGACTTCCGGTGCGTATTGATATAGAGGAAATAATATCCAGAAATCTTACAGTTTAAAAAATGGGTTAAAATACTTATTGTTCTGGACAGGAACTTGCTAGTAGCAAGAAGCATTAAATTTACAGGGGTGATCAGACAAGAACTTGTTGAGTCTGTGTTTAAAACTATTTACACTGAATAGCTTTCTGTTGTTCTCTCTTGTTCTGGTTTCCTGTGTTTTAATGAACATTTTGCTGTGGTCCACAATGTCTATTCCTTCTAGAGACTTATTTTTTTGGATCAGGTCAGCCCGATGTCTTCTATACTTTGGAGTAGGTAGTCCTAGATGGCGCAGTCTCTCTGAGTAGGGTTTGTTTTTTAGACTGGGAGCTAAACAGGTTGCCCTCCTTTGTACATTTTTCTACAGTTTAATGTCTTTCAGCAAATATTCAAGGTGTGGGTTGACTAGAGATTTGTGCAGTGTTAGAAACATGGTTCGTTGTAGAATTTTGCTAGCCATCACAGTTAGACTAATTGGACAATAGTTGTTGGGTTTTTAGAGCCTCTATTATGAATAAATGTTACATTGGCCTCTTCCCATGTGCTAGGTAGTTTTCCTTCTTGGAGTGATTGTTTGACCAATTGTGATAATGGCTTCTTAATTTCTGATACTGCCTCAACGTGCAACTTTGGATGTTCACTATCAGGCTCAGGACTTCTGTTGGGATTGATCTTTTTATTGCTTTTTGTACAAGCTTCTTCAGTTATTTCAATTCTGTCCAGGGGTGAAGTTGGTGTTTTCATAGGAATATTGGGGAGTTCTCCTGTCACGACCTCGACAAAAACTGATGAAAAGTACATGTTTAATGCGTCTGCAGCGTCTTGGTCAGATTGCGTCTGTTTACGGATGATTTTCTTTTTCTTTTTTAATTCACGTACTTAGAGAATTTCTTTGGATTGATTTTATCTCGTCAGCCAGTAAAAAATTAAATTGGTTTTTAAGCTGTTTACAGTGGAGGTAATGTTTTCCATTTTGTATGATTCCTGTTGATTGATTCAGTGGTCTTGTGGCCAAGTGATCTTTTGGAGTTTCCTCAAAATTGCTTGTTCTCTGGTACGTGTTTCTTTATAATATTTGATAAGTTATCAACAAAACGGTTTCAAGTTTCCTCCGTGTTGAGACAGTTGTCAAGTTTAGACCAATAAGCTTGTATAAGATCCTCTTTAATTGCAGTATAGTTTCCCTTGTGGAAGTTTCTGGTTTGTTGTGCATTTGATGGCTAACTTTCGACATAGCAGTTGAGTTTAAAAGACATGGTGATGTGGTAACTCTTCCCTACCCCGGGGAGATTGTTAATGTCTCTCTTACTAAGCATATTTTCTTCGTTTACGAGTATGATGTCGAGAAAAGTGAAAAAGGTCATGTATATTTTCCAGAAAAATAGATGCGGGGTGGCCAACGTTGACTGTTGTGTTAATTGTTTCCCAATTTATATCTCGGTAGTTAAAAATCTTTTAAGTCGACTGAGATTGTCGTTGTTTTTACACAACATATTGTCAGTTTGTCGTTGTTTTTGCAGTTGATTCGAAGGCATGTTGATTCTGAGAATGGTGTTGTAAACTCTATATTTGTAACCTCGATTTCTTCTTTAGGGTAGATCACAGTTCCTCTTTTTCTATGCTTTGGTATGTACATATCATAGTCTTTTATAGGGTATCTTTCCTCAGTTAGTGATAGAATATGTTTTTTTTTTGGGGGGGGGGGGGGGGGGGGGAAGTTCAGTTAAGCAGATGATATCTGTTCCCTCCTGAGTTATTATATATTATAACCAAAGCGGCCGGGGTTCGATTCCCCGATCGGACGTGAAAAGGGTATGGGGTCACCTGCCTGACCTAGTGGGTTTTCTCCGGGTACTTACAATAAGACCCCCGTGCGCTAACATCCGGGCCAACAAGAGTGATTAATATGAGTTGAAATAACTTGTTTCATAATTGTTGTAAAATAAATAAACTTTATAATTTATTAGTTTCCCTAGTTGTTGTTCATTTGCATATAAAAAATATATGTTATTTACATATCTGCTAGTCTTGGAGCAGGTGCTGGTAAAACAGTGGTCCTATTATCTTTTACCGTTTGGTGATGTAGGGATTGGAGGGGCAGTTGGCATGTCCTCATCAACGAGTGTACTGTCCAGAGCACATGGGTGTCGTCGTTAAAGTTGTTGGTGTGAGGTTCTTGCGTCACGAATGTCTGGGTACCAATCGTTTCATTTAGGCTGGTTGTAACCTCTGGGTGTGCTCGTTGGATTGGGCTTGGGTGATTTACCATTTTAGGTGGGGGTTTTTCTTGATATATTTATCACGGCGTTCTTCTTGTTTTTTTTTGGTGAGGCCCTCGAAATAATGTTTTTTTTAGTCCCTCTTGGGCGCTCCGGGGGTGTTGCTTGCCTTTCCAAGTAATATAGTTTTATGCTTTGTGCCGTTTAGCACAACTTTGAGCGGACGTGTTTTTGTTTCATCCATTTTTCCTAGACGAAAGTGCGTTAATACGTCGAGGTTTTCGATCCCTGTACTTCTGGCAACTAGTCTGATGTCTATCTCATCCTGTTCTTAAGGTGTAGCGTCGTCTTTTATACGTTTTTTCTAGCACATTGAACAGGACGTTGTTGTCTCGACTTCTTCTGTCCTGTATTTCTCTGCAGCGTTCCTCAACTAATACGAATACATGCGTGTCGAGGTCACTTATATTTTCCTTCATCACGTCTGAATATAACTCTTTCTAGACCTTTTTCAATTTTAACATCTGTGTTTTCCTCCAATGTGTCGATTTTGACTTCAAAGTTGTTTAGTTTTTCGCTGTTGGGTTTTTGTAGGGCTTCGAGGGTAGCATCAGTTTTCTCCAGACATAGTAGGGTGTTCTTATAGCTTTTACAGGCCCATCTAAGGTTGTCTACTTCCCCTCTCATTATACAACTTAGAACCGCTTCCAACTTACCTGCACATTTAGGGCAAAATTCTAGTTTGCACCCGTCACAGGTGATTGAGCCGTTGACCAGTTGCTTATCCTGTAAGGTTTGGAGGCTCTGTCAGTCTCATTCGGTGTCTTCAATATGCTGGGTTTTATTATAAACCCGACTTTTCGTGACTAGTTTTGGATGCAATTAAATGGGTATACCCTGGTTGGGTTAGGTGTTTAAATTATCGATGATGCGGGTAATAATTATTAGTAAGACAAGGCAATCCTCGTCAGTACCCACCTAAAGTCCAACTAAGGTTTACCTTAATTTGTATACACCTGGGTTTTAGGTTTGGTAGATCACAGAAGGGTAATAGTATTACGATTTTCTTTTTTTATCAAAAATATTTTTGTATAGGTTACACTAGTAAAACCAACACTTGTTACGTGCATTGTGTAAAGGATATCAGTTTCACAAGCTGCGATGTTAGTCGATGTCTTTACCGGATCAAGGTCTTCCTCCGCAATTTTTTCAATACATTACATGTTGTGCACAAAAACTATTGACCTTTTGTTGATATAAATGTCTCTTGTGGGAGTTCTCTATATTTGGGATAGTTTCGTTTTAATAAAAAAATAATTTATTACATTACATTGCTTCGAATGCATTTTCAAATTTATCGTACTTTTTTATCTTACGATATGTTTAGTTTCTCAAACTTCAGTAATGTTACACTATGTAGATTTTAAGCTTTAAAGTTGGTCAAATATGTAATTTTCATTGACTTCCTTGATTCCAAAGTGAGAGCAAAAAAGAAAATGTTGATGCCAAAGAGGGTGGAATTCATTCTTTATTAACTTTAAGCTTTCCAGCATAATTAACATTTCCCCATATTTTGATAAATAATAAAAATGAATTTCTATAGGTTGCAAATTGGTGTTTGGGCCTTTTTGTGACAAAGTTCTACTGAATTGCATGCCCGCTAAAATAAAAATGTCTAGTGTTTAATGAAATGCAAACAAAATTATAATAACAAATGCATGCATTATCTGACGGGATTAAACATGAACATCACTACATGAAGCCGTTAGTCCGGTGGTGTTTTTTTTTGAAGTGCAACCTACGAAATACACTCCCTATATCTTTCAGAGTGATATCCCTTTAGTGTAACTGACGGGCATGCGCGAATTTTGCATGCTTTCCGGTAAAGGACAACCTGTGTAACCTCGTAAACCTCGTGTACCACTGCAGGACAGAAATTTTGAAATGGCCGGTGTTATTGCACGATCACTTTCAAGGACGACAAGTTCACTATTGCAAAAATCACATCTGACAAAGCAGTTATCTCGGACGACAGCAAAGACCTACAGCCAACTTCACCGGTCATCACGATCACTCCTTGTAACCTCACGTCAACCAAATCTCGCCATCCACGGAAAAACGTGTAGATGTTGTCTGCATACACAGGGTATTGCTATGTTTGTCAATGCATTATCATTAAATAATTCCACTTTTCTATTCGTCAAAACCAATTTTTTGAGTTGAAGAAATGTATAACTGGTTTACTAGTGGCATGATGCAACCCCTCTTTCTCTCGTTTGCCTACTCCAACAACACTGTCAACAATGTTAGAGGTTTTACACGGCGAGATACTTCCTTGATGCAATTAATACAATGAAAATTGTGGGGCCTATAAAATTCATTTAAAATTAAAATTGTTCAAAATTATAGAATAATTTGTTTTTTGGTTAATTCATTCTATAAAGTTAGAATGAGAAGTTATTTTTAAGGCAAAGCCATACCACTTTCCGGAAAGCAATAGTTGAATCCTCGTTCTATTTATATTGGGGGTATGGTTTCAAATCAATGTGAGATTTTTGTTTTGTTATAGATGACCTGGAATTTTCAAGATTTCTGGCAGATGAGATTTCAGATGAGGAGAAAACCAGGAAACCATTGCCAGGTGTTTTGGACTGGAAAATTACAAAAGAAAATGCTGAGGTGAAACTGGAAAAAAATGTAGATAATGAAAGGTAACATCTTCATAATTGTATACACTTATTTCTGTGTTGTGTCCTTGCATACTGACAGGCCTGTCAACATTCCGCAAGTCATAAGGCACCCTTGCAGTCACAATCTTAGCTGTTCTCTCTTCCAAAATGCTGTTGGGGAACAAGATCTTTCTCATCACTCGAGATGACAAGGCAGACAAGGGGAAATAACTGTTTTATATGTAAGGTCTTAAAAGTACTAGGGCTAAGTCAGTGTCAAAGCTCATATCAATTCCTCCAAAATGAGCACAATTTTGAAAAAACTAGATGTCCAGCGATACGACACTAAGGCAGCATCCATGAGATAACTTTAAGTGCTGGTTACTAGGAAGCTCAATATTCTTCATTTGGTATGGTCAATATGATACTTTACTGGTCTGCGACTTGACAGTTGTGTTTAATTGAGGCCACACTTTGGAGTAAAGTTTAACATAGTCTACATTAGACAAATTTATTTTTAACAAGTCAAACTACAGTATAATCCTGATATACCGCGACCTTCCGTTCAAAGACATTTTGGTGTTACAACGAGTTTGGTGGTACAACGAGTTATCCCTGTTAAATGACAGGTGGATGAACACTTGTTTGTTTTGGGGCACATATCCAACACTTAACAATGAATATACACATCAATTTTGAAAGAATAATTAGTTCGGAAAAATTGATATAGATCTGGTATTACGATCAGTGTGTCACATGCAAGATATACACTTTACGAGTACCGCGGTGAGAGTGTTGGTTTTACAGATTTACTTACAATCATCAAGTAATGTCTGCATAGCGGTGCCAATATTCGCATTTCTCTACTGCAAATGCCATCATTTCGGTATTTCAGACTCTGTAGACTAGTGTAAGTGTTCAACTAAGTAAAGAACCATTTCAATATCCTGTTTCTCGGCCCCACAGCCCAGGCGGATATCGTCAAGAGTCCGTCTTGTCAGGATTTTTTTCACATCATGAATGTCACCGTCCGTCTGATTATCATTCGCAGTCTGACGTTTAATTATCCCCCACAAAACACATTTGTGGGGGATATTAAACAGGGCTCTGTCTGTCTGTCCTTCCGTCTGTCTGTCTGTCTGTGCATGGGCATTTTCAGGACCAGAGCTCTGAAACCGTTCAAGATAACTACTCAAAACTTTGTACAGTATCAAACTAGTACTCTAGTAATGCCTTTTGCTATGGAGAAGTTCTCCATTTAAATACGTTTTCTGTTACCATGGAAACAGATAGGCCAAATTACAAATTTCAGTTGTATGGATCATGACTCCAAAACCATTCAAGATAAATACCTGAAACTTTGTATATTAAAACTATCAAGCTAGCATTCTGGTAGTTCCTTTTGCTATGGAGGTTGAGTTCTCATTTTTAGCTCACCTGCCCGAAGGCCTAGGATGATGATATTTGGCCAGTGGCATGCTGGGAAGAAGGGCTACCAAGTTTGTTCAAATGAATGACCTTCATCCATTTTCAAGGCCGCAGGGGTCAAATATGTGAAAATCTATTAACAACTTCTTCTGAATAACCAAAAGGCCTAGGATGATGATATTTGGCCAGTAGCATGCTGGAATAAAGGACTTCCGAGTTTGTCCAAATAAATGACCTTTGTCAATTTTGAAGGTCACATGGATCAAACATGTTAAAACCTTGGAACAACTTCTGAATAATCAAGAGGCCTAGGATAATGATATTTAGCCAGTAACAAACTTGTATAAAGGACTACCAAATTTGTTTTAATGAATGACCTTGACATATTCCAAGGTCACAGGGGGAGAATATGTTCAAAACCTGTAAACAACTTCTCAATAACCCAAAAAATCTAGGATGATGATATTTGGCCAGTTGCATGCTGGGATTCAGGGCAACCAAGTTTGTTCAAATGAATGACCTTCGCCCATAATCTAGGTCACAATGGTCAATATATGTTTAAGTCTTTAAATGATTTGTTCTTAATAACCAAAAGGTCCAGGGTAATGATATTTTGCATTTAAGTGTGGAGAAATCGGTTCTGACAAAATTGATGGCCATATGCATGTTTGGCGATACAACGGGTGGTGATACATCGAGGTTATACTGTACAAGAAATTACGTTTTCTGCACAGTTAACAGAGTTTCCATGAATAGGGTGACTAATGAAGGAACATTTACAATCATATAACTGAACAAATTGTTAGAATGTTCTCACTTTGGCAATGTTTTCAAGTTGTGCAAATAACGGTACATAACAGATGAAAGAATGTGAGAGAGCAGTTCAAGCTTTATCATTTACTGACTACATGTTTGTCTTTTCAGTGTGACCATTACATTTAATGTGAACAATGCCACAGGCGGTGATCGACTTATGGAGGAGGGTGAGGGAGAAGAAGGAGAGGTTTGTAGGCGACTTCTTAGTTTTTCGCTTTTTTATAAGATTTGCTTTGTAAATTTACGTGGTAGAACTGGACTTGGAATCAAAGTCTGATTTGTTAAATACCTCTCTTAATGATTCAATGATCACTTTTCATCCTTTTTTAGCTCACCCGGTCTGAAGGACCAAGGTGATTTTATGCCACACCATAGTGTCTGTCATCCGTCCGTTAATAATTTCTTCAAAATACTTCTTCTTCATATTAACCACAAACACAAATTGGAATTCAACCAAATTTTGGAAGCATCCCTAGGTGATGGGGATTCCAAATTGTACAAATGGAGGGGCTGAGGTGCGGGGCCAAAAAGGGGTAATTTGGCCATATTGCTTGAAGTGAATTATTTTCTTGAACTAAGAGAGGGATATCAATCATATTTGGTTTGAAGCATTCTCAGGTGGTGGGGATTTAAAATTGTACAAATGGGAGGGCGAGTGGATGGCTGTAGGTTTGGCCACCCTTTAACCAGTCTGCCTTAACCATATATACCATGCTTCCATGATTGGCTCTCTTCTAGGATATTATTTGCTATACTACTTTTATTTATAATCTTTTGCCTTGATTGCTTAAATATCCAGGTGAGGGTTACAGGCCCTCTAGGCCTCTTGTTTTACAGATTTGTCTTGTATTTAATTTCTGTGTTACCATGTGAATTCTCTACATGGGACCCCTTTTGGAGCATTATCACTAAGATGACATGACAAAGCAGTCTGTTTCATTTCAAAACAGTCTTTGCTTTGTACCCATATCAATAATCTTAATTATAAAACAAGCTCAACTTTACATGTGATTTCATGGTATGGTTACACAGAATCAATACATAAAAGTAAATTTTATGGAAAAATCTGGAGATGCGTTAATTTAGCACACTTTTGAAGCATTGATTCATATTGAAGAATTGTAATTAAAATTCACTCTTGTACTGAAAACCTTTGCCTACATCTAATCTGACGGGAAATAACAATTTGTGTAATGTATATTGACTTTTATACAGTTTATCATAAAATTCCTTTTCAGATCGAAACAGACCCACCTTTTAATGTAGAAATAAAAAAAGCAACAGGTAAAATTATGTACTTGGAATGTGCATTGATCCCAAGCGGTGATCAACCAAAAGGTGAAGGGGAAGATGAAGTAGGTAAGTTGTATTTAGTGGCTCACTAGAAAATGCAACATTATCTGTGTAATGTATGGTTAATATAGACCCAATTGTATAAAAAGATCCAACACTCTATATATAGTATCTGTAATATACTGTAAATAAAGTGTAGATTGTATAAAAGGTGCCACCCCTCTCTATCGTATCTGTAATATACGGTTAAGATAAAAGGTTCCACCCCTCTATAGTATCTGTTATGTACGGTTAAGATAAAATACCCCTCTACATAGTGTTACTGATGGCATGTCTGTCTTGACCCGTTCTGTTCCTATTCAGTGTCATAGCTGTAGTGACTTCAATTCTTAGCAGATTTTTACAAGACAAAGGTCACTGATTATATATTTTTTGTGTCACCACTGTAGCCACTTCATTTCTTGATAGATTTTAAATAATGCAACTACATATGATGAACATAAGGACAAAATTTTTGATATAACTTCAACTATTATACCTTAAAAGAGTTCATATGTCAGGGTGACAAGGTCAAAGTCATATTGTTTATTGAAAATTGTGAAATATTGAATCCAATTTCATATGGCATTCTGTAATGTTTTTCTACAGCTGATGCCTTTGAAATAACATCTGTGACCATGGATGAAGGCAAACTAGAAGATGGCAGCTATACAATGTTTTCAGAGACAATGGATGGGGTAAGTTCTAAGCTGGTTTTCAAATCCAGGTGAAATCGTATGATGTAATTATGATTAACAAACTAAAATGTTATTATACATGTTTTATACATCGCCCAAACTTAATTACAGCATGCATTTCTTCCTGTTCTATCAAAGAATAGAAATATTATTTCAAAAATAGAAATGCTATACAATTTAGGAGATAGATCACTTAAAAAATAGCTTAATTCAGCATGGAATACAACACTAAAGATTTGTTTCATTTCAAGGAAATCTATGGTAACAGGTTTGTACAGGAAGTTGCTACAAGTACCACGATACATATTGTTTTGTGACCTATGTATCGTGATACGTATCATATCTTCACAACCTTTGCGATACACAGCACTTATGGTAGTACACATACAGTGTCGACACAGGATAGAGACAGTTGTTGTATATTGAAACAGACAGTAGTACACATACAGGTTGACACAGGATAGAGACAGTTGTTGTATATTGAAACAGACGGTAGTCCACATACAGTGTCGACACAGGATAGAGACAGTTGTTTTATATTGAAACAGACAGTAGTACACATACAGGTTGGCACAGGATAGAGACAGTTGTTGTATATTGAAACAGACGGGAGTACACATACAGTGTCGACACTGGATAGAGACAGTTGTTGTATATTGAAACAGACAGTAGTACACATACAGTGTCGTCACAGGATAGAGACAGTTGTTGTATATTGAAACAGACGGTAGTACAGATACAGTGTCGACACAGGATAGAGACAGTTGTTGTATATTGAAACAGACCATGGAAGAGTTTGCTACTCATAGTTTGCTACTTATGAGTAGCAGCTAAGCCTCTAAAAGTTTTCAAAATGTATTGGAAAACTAGTATATCGCTGTACACAGTAATATTGTATTATAATTTAATCTTGCTTGTAACAAGCATTTTCATTGGCTTACAAATATATGTTATCAGCCCATAATGTCAAATATGACGTCGCCATTTGTAACATCGCTTTTGATTGGCTGATACAGCGGCGTAATAATTTCTAAGAGAAAAGAGTCCATCAAAAACGTGGATTTCCACAGGGATTGTGTATAGTAGATTAAATTATAAGGATTGACTTGAATATATATTTTTTATGTTATGGAGCTATAACACAAAAAACCGGAGTGTACTCTCATCATAAACCGCTTCACGGTTTATTTAGAGTACACTTCGTTTTTTGTGTTATATCTCCATAACATAAAAAATGTATTCAAGTTAATCCTTAAATATTAACTAAACAAAAATAACCTATTGCTGAATGAACAATACTTGTATGCCATTTAAGTTTACAAAGAACTTGATCTATTTTACAGCAAGTTTATGACAAGCTGATGGACTTGCTTGACAACAGAGGAGTTGGGGATGAACTGATAACAGCCATGAGGGATTACTGTAAAACCTATGATCATCATCTATATGTGAATCTGTTGTCTAAAATGAAGGAATTTGTGGATGAAAAATAAACGTTTTGCTACTGCACTAAACATGTATGGAAAGGGCAATGATGAAATTTTGTTGTTGCTGGATGACATTTTTACAGTTTGTTCAAACACAAATTACATATTATTGTGTATAACATTTTTAGAACCTGGACACATTTCTGTCGATATAAGTGATGTCTTTCATTCAGTAAAAGCTAGCAATTTCATATTGACCAATCAGAATGGTTGAATCTGTAGAAAAGTTAGTTAAAATCATAGCAAAGCTGCTGATTTTCTGTCCAGATGAAGCGACGATAGAAGAAGTTGCTAAGGTACTAAGATATTTACATAACTACACAATTGAGATATTTATTATAAGCATTATTAGTCCATTCAAAACTGTTTACAGCCTTGTCCGATGTGACATCTGAAGAATATGGTGCAACAGACTATGCTTCGAGTCATCCCTCTCTCTTCATGCAGTAACATTTTCATCTTTATGGTTTGAAAATGTGATAAATAGGAAATTTCACGGTTTTCCTGTTAAATACCATTTCCTTTTGTACGACAAATTGAACTAGTATTGTTCGAAAAAGTATAAACATGTATGGTATTCAACGAGAATATTATCTTCAGTATATCAAGTATTATAAAATGATTTTCTATGTAATTATGCAGAATAAAATTAGAATGTCATTGAACATTTTATTATTAATGAATACTGTGATTATTTTCATTGATAAATATTGAAAATGAAAATAAAGTAGAATTATTTAACTAAAGAATGTTTGTTGTATGATGACCTATAAAAATACATGTGACCAAAAAGCCACTTATTGGTAGTGTTAGAACTGTGAATATTGATGTGTGAAACAAAAATAAAGATCAAATATCACTTTTGTATTGTTTTATATACCGGGTAAGTGCATCAATAGTTAAATTTGATATATTTTGCAACCATCTATTTGTCCATCCTTGATTTCCACCAGATAACTGGCTTAAATGTTATTCAATTTTGATTAAAAAAACAAGTATGAACAATGTGCAAATGCTTCAGCGAAGTCTAGGCATAATTAACATAATTTGTGGCAATTCTATCTGATCAAATTTTGTTCTACACAAAAGCTATTTTGAATTTGAGCAATATATGCATGCGATTAAGTCATGACAGGAACTTCATTTGGTAGTTAAAATAAAATGAACAAGAATATTGGCAAAGGGAGGCAATACCTAAACCATCAAAAGATTTTTAGCTTTAATGGTGTATTGTCTAGCATCAACTTTTTTACTTCACCTGAACAACCAGTAAGACCGAGTAATTATATTAAGTCAGTAGTATTCTTGATGAAAAGACTATCAAGTTTGTTAAAACGAGTGTCCTTGACACACTCTTTAAGGTTTCAGGTCAGTTTTGTTAAAATTTAATCAAATAAAAAGAACCCTGTGGTGATGATATTCGGCCATTAGCATGCTGGGATAAGGGACTATCAATTTTTTAATGACTGACCCATTTTTAGCTCGCCAATCTGTCCGTCAACTTTTCCTTTAAAACAACTTCCTCTGAAGAATGGACTGGCCTAGACTCGTGATATTTGGCTGAAAGCTTTGTTGGTAAAAGCCCGACAAAATTGAGAATGAAAATGACCTTGACCTACCTTCAAGGCAACAGATCAAATGTGCCAAACACTTCAAAAGTCTTCTTCTGAAGAATTGAAAGGAAAAGAATCATAATAAGAGTCCAGCTAAGTTTGAGAATGAAAATGACCATGGCTAAATTTCAAGTTCACTAAGGTCAAATACTTTAAATGACTACTTCGGAGAATAATCTTAAAGCATATATATAGAAGTATAATATTTGACTGGTAGCTTCCTGGGATGGAGCCTGAGAAAGTTTGAAAATGAAAATAACCTTGACCTACTTCACAGTCACAGGGGTCAAGTATGTCCAACACTTTACACAACCTTTTCTGAGGAACAGAAAGGTAAAGAATATTTTGCTGGTAGCTTCTTGGGATGGTGCGAGTGAAAATTACCTTGACTTACTTTCAAGGTCACAGGGATCAAATGTGTCAAAAACATCAAACGACTTCTTCTGAATAATCGAAAGGCATAGAATCATAATGTTTTGCTGGTGGCTTCTTGGGATAGAGCTCACCACAGTTTGCGAATGTAAATGACCTCAACCTACTTTAAAGGTCACAGAGGTAAACAACACTTCAAACGACTTGTTCTGAAGAACCAAAAGGCACGGATTCATAAGATTTTACTGGTAGCTTCTTGGAATAGAGCCAACAAAGTTTGCGAATGAAAATGACCTTGACCTACTTACGGACAAATATGGCAAACACTTCAAACTTCTTCTGAAGAAACGGAAAGCATAGAATCATATAATATTTGGCTGGTAGCTTCAACAGATGGAGCCCGACAAAGTTTGCGATTGAAATATTTGTAATACAGTATAATATTTAGAATGAGAACATTTTTGCTATGACTGTTTAAATATCCAGGTGAGCAACACAGGCCCTCTGGAACTCTTATTAAGGACATAGGAGTCACATTTTTGAAACATTTTGAAAAGCTTCTGAACAAGGGAAAGTATTGCAAGACACGATAGTCCCCCACCGGTAATGATTTCTATATTGAACAAACTAGACACTTATGTCAGGATGTAACGACTGTTCAAAGCATAGGTCACAGTGACCTAATTTTTGCACTCTGCCATCCCAAGATGTCCTTGTACACCAAATCTGGTTACTCCAGGTGAAATAATATAGAAGATGGATGGACAGACGGAGTGCAACCCTATAACTCCCGGAACCTGTGGGGGACTAATAACCAACAGGTCTCGGGTGATTTTAAGTAACATGATTGGATGATAGAAAATAAAGTTTGTTAATGAAATAACATTGAGCCACAATCAAGGTCACAGGCCAAATGTGTTAAAAACCTATATACAGTGTATAACTTTTTTCTGAATGATGTTCGGCAAGAAACATAACGAACTAAAAAGGGCTATAACGTTTGTTTAAAAAATATGACATTGACCAACTTCTTGGTCAAAGGTCAAATTTGTTAAAACCTTTGGAATAACTTTTGCAGAAAAGACCCCTAGGTTATGGTATTAGGTCAGTAGCAAGCTGGAATGAAAAGTCATTAAAATTTTGTTCAAATAGGTCACAGAAGTTAAATGCTTTAAAAACTCTGTGAACTTTTTCTGCATAAGGAAGATGCCCAGGATGATGATATTCAGTCAGTGGCATACTATGATGAATGGCAACTAATTCATACCCAATTATCATGGTTCTAGGCCTCTAGTGCTTTTGAAAATGTAGCTTGAAGATTTTGATATATTTGACCTCTGTGACATTGGAAACTATAGCACGCCATTCCAGGTACCTACTGCTCAAATAGCTTGGCCCTTGTACTTTCAGTTTTCAGGAAGTTTATCATAGGAAAAAGATAGACAGACAGACAGACATGAGCTCACAGGCACTTTATGCCAGACGAAATAAAACTGGGAAACAAATCTAAAAATCAGTAGGGGCTTTTCATACATAAAGCACAATTCTTTTAATTTACCAACACTTACTACATATATATAATATTTTCAGCTTTGACACAAATTTCTTTGGGTCAAGAATACTCAATTAACGATAATGCTCAAGATCTGCAAAGTTACTAACCCCTTAATACAACAGATCAAATAGATTGTGCAATAAAATGCATTGCAAAAGTATGAATTTGAAATGCAAACCAGTTGTATCGGTGCACTTCACTGGGACATGGGTCTACACGTGTTTGAAAATGTTAAGATGTAAAAAGAAAGTAACATAATCAAGGGTTAATTTTTTATTTTTATTTTTCGACTTTATTATGTACATTTGCATCACGTGTATATTTGTACCTAAAAGCATCCATGTGATATTTAGAACAGATTCTATGACACAATTTGCAGGGTAGTAAAAACATTCATTGAAGAATCTGTCAACATGAAACAAAGGAGACTTCTGTCGCTGAACACAATGGGTAAGTTTTATAAACGAGCACCGTAAAAAAATATTTGTTTTCACACAAAAAAATGGAAATAAAATGCATATCTACAGCAACTGCCTGTTGTAAGGCACGGTGTGCTGCAAGTCTGACCGAACAGGAACCATCACTTGTGGAATGTTCCTGCTGTCACAGTTAACTGTATTTAGGAACTACCCTTAATCCCATGTCACTCAAAACCTTTCACAACCTTACATACATCTGTAACAATTTCAATCAAATATACCAGCAATCGTATTTGCAGTTATTCCATTGGCATTTTTATACATTATTCTGTTACTGGTACCTCTATTAAGATAACTGTAAACTGATATCATAAAGACTGGCATGAGTCAAGATTGATAAAAACCATTGTATAAGGCTATTTACTGGTACACTGACTGATTATTATCAACAGGACGTTGGAACACACGCCCTTTATTTATAGAGGAAAGTTTGTTTGTGTAGTATAAAAAGGTCTTTATCCATCAAACGACCCTGCCTTGCATAAAATTACTACTCTTCATACTTTAAAATATAATTCAAATAGCTTTTAAGTAGCCACTTAAAAATCACTGAAAAAGTGACTGACATGAAAAAACAAAAAAACATTGACAATATATGATATGTTGTTGAAGGATATTAGCAATATAGCAAATAAAATAACTCATTACATAAAGTTATTAGCATAATTATTTTTTAGAAAAACATTATACAGATCACTGGAGGTTACTGCATTCATCTTAATTTTCATAACTAACTTTCAGACTTATAAAGTTCTTGAATTTTGTGCTAAAATCGTCATAATTTTAACTTCATACATGCACATGCATTTACACATTAAGCTCCAAACTTAAGGTTTAACAATTCATAAGAACTTGTACTGGCCTTTCATCAGTCTCAAAACATGTAAAAAATAACATTTTACACATAGAGACAATGAATAAAATGGCTGAAGTATAGGCAAGGTACACTGTAATGCAATTCCATCTACATCTTAGCCATATGAAAATCACATCAAATATTTTCGTGCCACCATTCTTGATTGTCAGTGCTTCACCCCATGACATAATTTATTGTTAAAATCGAAATAAGTATAAAAACGGGAATATGTTCCAAAAAAGAAAGTTAATTTTTATCACATAATCGGCCTGTTATCCAGTGAATTCGCCCGTGTAATATTTTTACATATGTCACTAGTGTAATATACCTTGGAGCGTTTTTCATTGGTTGTGCCAGTCAGAAATCAATTGTGACGTTGTAATATGGACAATGACATGACGTCATCAGTTGTGAATGGCGCAACAAAATGGCTGTCTCTGTTTGACTAAGCCCTCTACATTTTGGCCTTAAAACCTGTCAAAATGTAGGTTTTCTGAGTTATGTGATAAAAAGAATCTTATATTTGCTTTCATTTCATATGAGCTTTTATGAAACTCATCTCAAAGTTTTAATTTTTGCTCGCCAAGGCTCGCAAAAATAAAACTCCCCATGCTTGTTTCAAAAAATCTCATATGAAATGAAAGTCATTTAAGATCCTATATATATTGCATATCTAAAAAATATTAATATCGTTATTTCTCTTTCAATCATATTCTAAAAACTCTCCCTTCCCCACTTGTTTTTGGATGACAAGCTTTGTCACCCTTACATATCAGGGATCTACAGGCAGCTATTTAAATGATATTCATCTGTAACCACTTAATATTAACTACAAGTGAAAGTTATTCAGTGATCAACAGGGACAAATCACACTATACTCATAATCTCAATACATATCTCAGTCAAGGAATCCAAATTATTTTCTTTAAATGAGACAGGAAATCATTTTATAACAGTTCAATTCATCTTTAAACAGAACTTCACGACATGAAAACATTTCAATCAAACACTCATCCTTTCAATTACTACATAATCTCTGTCTCATTTACACAGTACCTGTATATCTAATGCCACAAACCCTCCTCTGGAAGCTTCAATGGAAGGTCTTACAAAGTCACAACTAATTACCATACAAACATTTAATTACATGCAATGATTGCAGTGATAAAGATTTCAGCTAGGACTTTTACCAAAACTTCAATCACACATATTCAGGAATGATGGATTCACTGCAGCAATTAACTCTGAATCCACACAAAAATGAAACATTTATCCTGTATAATTCTTCACTGCTATGGTTTGGTTTATTTGATTGTTTGAGATTTCGCTTGACACCAAAACCTGAAATACAATTCCTTATTTTCAAAAAAATGCATCAACCATTAAAAATTCTAAATTTCTTTGTTAAATTTTACTTCCATGTCAAGTCTGATTTGGAAATTGAATTTAATTGATTTCATTCCAACACTGAACCAACTTATTTACCTCTGAGACAAGGACACACCAAACATATCTACTAGTATAGTGTAAACAGGTATATATGATTTTGTATGGAGGTAAATCATGTCTTTTGTTTGTATTTCTTCAAATTTATAAAAATAAAAATAAGTTAAACCTGAAATGCTGAATTAAAGTGATATAAGGATGGTAACAAGCTGGGAAAATATCTGTTGTCAACACTGGGTATTATTACTTTCTATTTTCACATCACACAACTGAGTCTGACAAAAACAAATCTAAAACAAGTATAACATTTTTACCAACTCATCCAACAACACAAGCACATCTTTCTCCCATTCTTGTAATTCACTTGTCAAAGTTTTAACCATGGATGAGATTCTACTGAGGTTTTACTGCGGTCACCATAGTCATACAAAAGTTCCTCCCCTAGGCTAATGTCCCTGGCGGCCACCAGGGTGAGGTAGGGTGTGTTGTTCACCTCCACAAGCTTGGTTCGACAGTTGGCCGACGTTCTACTGTGATTGATGAGCCTACCCAGTCGTCCACTCTCTGCTGTAGCATCAATACTGTAAGATAAATATATCAAATGATTTAAGAAAAGTAATCTGAATCAATCTGTCATGAAGCTTCCTTTATTTATACCTTGATAATATGTTCATTTTTTTTTACCCCCAACTTTCTACAATAACTGTGAATCACATTATTTTAAATAGGTAGTTTTCACATTATGCCTGTATTTAAGTTGTATTCACTAATACCTGCATATGTGATAGGAGATGATGTACCAATATTGAAAATAATTATCTGTGGAATAATTATCACAAGAAAATTTGAATTTGTGGATAAATCTCCTGAAAAGATTATGAAAAATGTATAGATCTGCTAAAATAGGGAAACCTTTCAAGTATGTGCATGGATTCAAGCCTTCATAAGAGATGTCGTACTACTTGACATTTAATTTTCAGCCGAGTACTGCAGAATGTTTAACTTAAAATTGTGATAAAGGTGATTAAATTCATGAACAGAAAATTGTGTGCATTTTAGAGGTTTTCATATACAATTCATGTTTAGGAAAAGTTGATGGACGACGGAGGCCGCGCCATGGCATAAGCTCACTTGCCCCTTTGGGCAGGTGAGCTAAAAAGTCATAATCTGCAGATCTGGATCTAGTGTTACCTGTTTTCATTTTATCCATGCTCAGATGTAACTTACCAATAGCTGTGATTTTTGTGATGGAAATAATACATGTAACATCCTGTCTCTGGGATTTCAGAGTAGATTCTTTCCTTTTCCTTGGCATCGGAAAGTGCTATCAAATCACCAGCATATTCCACTACAAATTCCCCACGCTGAAATGCCTTGGTGGACACAATGCCACGCCCCTTGTTTTCCATTTCCACAATCTAAATCAGATGCAAAGGTGTATATTATATCTTTTGAATAACAATTTTGTAGCGTGCAGAACTTTTAAAATGATGGTGGTAATGGTAGTAAAAGCTGCCTTGTAATTTCTGCGATATCTCTATATTTGTTGAACCCTATCTGTGCCATGTATTGTAGAACACAACCTTGATAAGTTCCTGGAATCTGCTTTATAAAAGAGGAACTAGTGCTTTGTCTGTACAGCAAAATACTATAACATCCAATGTAATTCCAGTTTCTCAGGAGTAATAATCTGCTGGAGTAATGACGGGAACCAAAGATTTATTACCTCTGAAAAAAATACAAACTGTATATATGCAAAACTTCTGTCTTCTTATACCTTAATACAACTAAACATGCTATATGTATGACAAAGTTTTTTGTGATCTTGTTTGTATAAAATGACCACAATGGAATGTCGAAAAAGCAGATAGAACCCCAGCACATGCACAAATCAGAATGAAATCACATTTTTTGTATCATAAATCATAGCCTATACTTTCAATTAAACTTCGTCACAATAGTGGTAGTTGACAGGTCCACTCTTTATTCTTTGTTTAGTTTTCACCTTGATAAAACTGTGGAGCACTCCAGTGAGTTTAACAGTTACATACCTTTAATCCATCTTCCTTTTTGTTCAATATTTTGTCTTCAATATCTGTCCATACTTCTTTCTGAAATGTATAAACAGCTTTTACCAACCACGAAATATTGCAAAACTGTGGCATAGATGTTGATGATTGATAGCCATTTAAATTTGCTTCTGGACTTCATGAAGCTTTAAATTCCATGCTATAAGCAAGGTTACTATTTTTTACTTGTACAACTTGTCAATTAATCCATGAAACACATTAGAAAACAGGTTTGAAACAGATCCTGCAGTAACTTGTAGAACTAAATTTCCTTATGTTACATTTATCATGACTATTAATTATTTGCATAATATTTACGATTATCCAATGTCTTAATTGAAAAAATGGATTTCAATCCCATAAACTCCCCTTTGATGAACCACCAGCCTAACAAATTTACACAACTGTCATGCCTTTTTCTCTTAAATATAATTGATATAGCTAATATTTATTATAACAAGAGGCCCATGGGCCTTAACGGTCACCTGATATATTTATACAGAGAGTTGATTTTGTTTTTAACAGAAATATTATTCAAAGTGACAAAAAGCAATAAAACCACCTTATTCAATATCTAGCATACAGATTTCAGACTAAAAAGGATTTGAAACTAGCACCTCTGATTCTTAACAAGGAAAATGAAGAAATTTTAGCACACTGACTCCTTTGAGCCCCACCCTACAGCCCTTGGGGGTAGGGCTGGCTCAAAATTTTCAAAGTATCAAACTGTCAATTCAAGGTTATAATTCCAATCAAGTTATTAACATGTAATATTCAAAG